AAAATGGTAGAAAGTTTATCAAGTGTTTTTGATTGAAATGTTATTTCATACACACACACATACAAAATAATTAATCTTAACTGATAATTTTCCCATATTCTTCTCTCCTCAAATTTTATTCACCCCAAAATAAACTCAATGTCACACTTTGCTGGCTTTTTCGAGCTCATACAATATCTCTATGCTTTTCCTCTCTTCCTTTTCAATGGAATATGTATATATTGAGCAACATCTGCCATGGCAGTTGTAATAAAAATCGATAAAACACTGTTTTGCAAAGTAATTACATCATAACATTCGATGGGGAGAAGTTATCAATATTATTTACCTGTTCAATTCCACACAAAAATATGCGTTGAAAATATTCTCAACCCCTTTGACGAAGCAATATGCCCAATGATTTAAGAGAATTAAACCAAAATAAAGGATCTTATAGTTTTAAATTGCATCTGTAAACATTGTCTTTCATCACACTATTTTTTCATTGCTCGTATACAAGAGTCTTGAGAGCTGCAAAATGACTGTTTTCTACTCAAAAGGCACTAAGTGTAAAAAGTACGGCAATAAAATTCATTTTAAAAGCCAAAGCACGTGCAGAAAAATTGACTGCAAAAAGTCATAAGAGTATTTCTTTTGCTGGAAACTAAGAAGTAAGAACAGCTTTAATTTAAACAAATCAATGTTTCAAAAGATGACGTAATAAAATAGTGAAATATAAGACAAAGAACAATGAAACTCTTGATTAGAAACTCAACCAAAAATCTGTATCTCAACATCTCAACATCTCCATGTTTTGAGGTTTTCTCTCTGCACTTCATCTCTAAGTTTTCCCAATGATTATGCAAGAATTCTCAATGCGGAAAACTTTCCCCGAAAAAAAAATATATCGCAGTGTTTCCGAAATGGCATAATTTGTCGCTTCAAAATGAATTTATCCGCGGTGGCACAAGTTATCAAGCGCGTCGCTTCATCTGCTTAACAAAAAAACATAACTGTTTTGTTTATATTCCAACAGTCCAGAGAACTTTCTCCAAAAAATAACCACACACACAAAAATATCACTTTTCGCATGAGAGGCGCGCGCATTAATGGAGATTTTCGCTGAGAATTCTTCACCATTTTCCACACTCCTTCTTTTTCTCCTTATGTGCCTGGATGGAGACACAGAACTTCAAACGGAGCTCATGCGTTGTCCCCGTTTTGTCAAGAGAAACTTTCATCCCATGTTGCAAAGGAGACAAAAGACTTTGGCAATGAAAGAAAATCACTTCCTTTGAGCGCTCGTCTTATCAATGACCTTCTCACAGAATACGCTTGAGCTTTCCTCTTCTCTCTCTCTCTCCCTCTCTCTCTCTCCCCCAAAAAACACCATCAATTTTACACCGCGCTCGTCTTCGCATCGATCACTTCCCCGCGCACACACAATTATGAAGAAAAAAAAAGTATAATGTGTAAATTGTGTAATACTTGGACCATGAACTGTTTGTGTGAGTGCAAAGACTGGGTTTTGAAAAGCCCAGGGAAGAGAGACGCAAAAGAACCCGAATGTTTTCGTTGTTCAACCCGATGAAGGTCTCTTTTATTTAGCAAGATTAATTTATGTACTCTTTGTTGACTAATAAAAATCATTTATGCTCATTTTCTCTTTGTCAATTCATCTCTTCTCTCTCTCTCTGTCTTTCTTTCTCTGTGTGATCAACATTCGTTGAGTATCGCTCGAGTGGGTAAAAAAAATATCGTGATTATCACATTTTTCACTGCTATGGTAAGCAAACGTTCAATATAATATTCTTACTCTTCCTTCTCGCTTGCACTCTTCCTCAAGTCATTCACTCTCTCTCTCTCTCTCGTCTCACACCACACAATATATCGTCATACAACATTGAGGCATTGTCAAATGAGATTTTTCTTGTCTCTCCTTTCGTTTCCCTCTTCAAACACCCATAAATCTGTCGCTGTATTTAACATTTCGCTGTGCGATGTATTTGTGGATATATTATTTGTCATGAAAACCAATTCGCCCAGTTTGTAATACAACTGATATGACAATTCAGATTATCCAGCTAAAATTTCTTTGTTTAATCAATAAACATTTCATTTCACTACAGCTTTTTTCCTCGCTCCTTTCATCGCTCGCGCGCCTCAGCAAAACGCCACGATATGCTATTTTTGAGGGACACATTCAATTAAATTTAGAATGCGACAAAGACGGTGTGGAATGACTTCAAAAGAAAAGAAAAAAAAGAGTGAAGCAAAAGAGAGAGAAAAAAATACCACTTTTTAGCCACTCATCGCAACTGCATTCAACTGTTCTTTGCATTTAGCGCATTAAGGGATTATTAATTGCAAAAAAAAAAAAACATAAACGCAGAGGTGAAAAAGAATCATACTTGCAAAGGTTAGAAATCTGGTATAATTAAATTACCTTCACTTCCATTACATGTAAAATGTAATAATTTTAATTTCACTTGATGTGCTGTTTTTCCTCACTAGTCTTTCTCGTTTTTCTGCTCAACAGCCAACCCAGCAACACAGTTGATCGCAAGCAAGTGCGCCAGAGCGAGACGGGAGATTTCTTGTCTCTCTGCCGTCTTAAATTATTATGTTTGTCGCTTATAGAAGTCTCTCCTTTTATTTCAATAATCGCAATTCTCGATGAAACACACCAAAAAAATAAATATTTCAAATGCGCAATTTCAGCACAATTCCTCACACAAAACTTCTTCAATGCAATTTCACTGGATTTTTCTTTTCTCTCCTTCACACTCCACGCCAAAGAATTAATTATCACTGCTCGTCTCTTCTTCCATACTTCATAAGTGGGATTTTGGGAGAATTACACGTCATTGCATCGCAGTGAATGTTGAACTTTGACCAAAAAATAAAACCTCCCCTTCAAAATATACGGGCAAAAACTCAATAGCTCCCCAATTGCACTCCTTGAACACGTTTCTCGATGCACGACTGTGGATTTTGTAGTGCAAAAATCCACTGACTGCGCTAACGTATTAATCGTCAGTAAATATGTTTATAGGACTATTTATCAGGCGTCTCTATTTTTCACTGCGCTCACTTCACTCACACCACGCCAAGCGTCAAGAGCGCTCAATGAGCTGTCAGCCTGTGTGCGTGACGCACACACTCTCCCACCATCGAAGTGTGCGTGGCGATTTTGAGAAAATATCAAATTGATATGAAATTCGTGTGATTTTTTTTTCCTCTTTCTACCCCCTCTCACACTCTCTCACTCACTCTCTGTCTCCTCCGCAAGAGCGCGCGACTGTCTCTCTCTCTCCCGAGCACTCTCTCACTCTCTCGTCAGCGAACAGCGAAAAGCCAACTCCTCAGCTCAGCGACTGCGACAAGACTGAACTCTCATGAGAGGCCAACAGCCGTCGGCTCGCCATCTTCGGCTCCACGAGCGGGACGCCCTCTCTCGGCGCTCATTCCGTCTCATTAGAGCCCCAAATCGGAGGCTCCCTGCGATGCCACAAACTGACACCGAGAGCCACCCTTTCCACTCTCTTCGCCCGGGCTCTTGGAGAGTCCAATTGGATCTAATCCGCAGCCAGAGAGGAGATTCTCATGTGACAGCGACAGAGCAAGAGAGAGACGCCAAAGTGCGTTAAGTACATTGAATAATCGACGGGGTTTATCAACTCCACGGAGAATTCTGCGAAGCGGAGTGAATTGAAGCGTTCCGTTGCAAGAGTCTCTCTATAATGTCGAGGATGACGAGTAAACAAAATACTTTACCGAGTTTTTCCAGGGGTTAATCAATTTGAAGATGCTGAAAATTAAAATCAAGACTTCTTGAGGTGTTTCTTTTTGTACACCAAATCTCAATTTGTAATTAATCTCTGGAGTTTCTATTCAATGAGCCTCTTTATGCCGTGCCAAGTTAAATGCTGCATCAATTTTAATCCAGCATTTAACTTAACCGGCGTAAAGAAGCTCAATGTTCATGTTTAGAGAATTTATTATAAGCTTAAATTGAAAAATCAACCCATAAATGCTGATTTCAAGTCTAAAATCGATCAAGAAGCTCCTCAAAATGGTAAGTTTTTCACCTTCAAAGCAATTGTGATCTCGATTAAAGGCTAAAATCTATGTAAATTCCTGCAAAATGTGTCTCAATCGTTTCTCAATCATTTGAATATACTCAGAAAAGTTCCAAAGATGTGCAAAGACGGTGAGAAGAAAAACTCAGTCACGGCTTCTCTCAGCTGATGAACCCTCTGAGACAACCATTTGATCTTGTTTGGCACATTGAATTACCTCAAACGCCACAACGATGAAAACCATTTAAGGGATTTCGCTCGGCGAGCAAGAAAAAGAAGAGCAAGAATTTAAACAGAAAACACAACATTTTTTTTTATCTCTCCAGCAGAAATACGAAATAATGCTGATTTGTGGATTTCTCTCTCTCTCTCTCTGTTTCTCCCTTTTCATAATCAAATTGCTGGCATCTGAAAAACAGTGGCAATTAATAAATAAATAAATTAATATTATTTGAAAATTGCTGATGTCTTCTCAGAGGCAAAAGTTCCGTTTTACACTTCTCTGGCGATTACGTAAATAACATATTCCAATGCTTTCCCTCCTCGTCTTCGCCGTCATTTCGTGTGCTTCTGTCGGTATTCAGCATTTTATTCTCTCTCTCTCTCTCTCCCTCTCGCTTTGCACTATTATTGAAAAAAGAAGTTGAGCAGCACAGAGAGTGGAAAAAAGGCGAAGAACACTGTGAATAAACACTTTTTTGCCATACTTTTCTCTGCTTATCATCATCGCGCAATGCTAAAGACACACTTTTTTTCTTTCTTTTATATATCTTTCTGACTTTTATTCTATCTCTCATTGTAATTTTTACTTTGTTTCACCACTCAACTCTATTTCTCCCCCCGCAAATTCTGCATAAAATTGTATTTCTAGTTTTCCTTCTTCTTCTTCTCCTTTCTTTTCAATAATGCTAAAATTTATATATATATATATATATATACTTTTTTTTCTTAGTAATTTTTCATCTTTATTTATATAAAATTATCTGTACTTTTTAGATTCTGTTAGTGATTTTCTCCCTCATCATACATTAATGTCACTTTTTTATCCGTTTAACATCATCGTTTCTTCTCATTCTCAGAATTGCGTTTCAAAAGATATTAAAATCTTTTTTTTTGTAGTTGTTTTCTTATCTAAACACATTCAACAAATCCAATAATTTGGTTCATCTCTCTCTCTCTCTCTCTCTCTCTCTCTCTCTCTCTCTGTCTTTCTCACTTGAGAATATTGAGTGAAAATGTGTCCTTTCTCAGCTTATTTTTCTTCCTTCACTGAGATGTAAATCAATATGAAATATTTCTCTTAAAAAGCGCACATTTTTTTATTTTTCTCTCTCTCACTCTCTTTTGTAAGTTTGTTCAAAGAAAATCCATAACTATTCTACACATTTCACATTTTGGTGTGGTTGTGTGTGTGTGTGTGTTTACAGAGTAGATTATAAAAGAAACATAATGCAGAAAACGTATTAATATGCCTAAAATGAACTATATTTACCATTTAATGTACACCTTCTATTACTCCTCCTTGTCTATCTCCTCAATTTCCCACTCATCGTGTCTCTGTCTCTCGCGCGCTGTTGTAATATTGGTTGAATGTATATAACAAAAGGCCCACAATTTACATACGCACGCTGTTTTCCACCTTCCGCAACCCCCGCAAAACATGACTCCGACCAAAACTCACCCTCAGCGCCACCCCTTCTTCTTCTTCCCTATTTCCACCAACTTCCCAACTACACTCACTCGTCGATTCATGCACTTTCTGTGATTCCATCATCAGCACAACAACTGTCTTTTTAGCCACAATTTTCGCCTTTTTGCCTGCGCTTCACTCACGAACAATTCATAAATTAATTTCTTCAAAAGAAACACACACTCTCTTGCCCGTGTGTCCTTCGCGCGCCACTTTCTCTATCATCGCACATCCTTCTCACCTCATCATCAGAGCATGTGTGCACTTATCACGGAAACGAACAACAACAACAACAGGGAAAAGAATCCTTGCGACGCTCAGATGTGATCTCATTGCTGCTCGCGCAGTTGTTTCCTCCTCTTCTTGCTCCACAACTCGTGACAGTCCTGCCAGGTGGGCAATTGCGGTATTGGCATTCTGCAGAGAAATAAAGCACAGCATTAGAATCATGATTCTCATCAATTAGCACAAAAATCTCCACTTCTTTCTCCCCCTCTTTCTCTCTCTCAACATTCTCGGCAAATTCCCCGAGAATACAATTTAATTCGCATCTAAAGAAATTGATTTTCATGCCAACAACAAAACTCTCCTTCACCACAATACAGTGATTACCAACAGAAGTCAGTTCATCAATTGTGAATTGAGAGCCAATAGATTTGGCCAAATCAATGCTAAAGACATTAGAATGACGTTTAGAAATCTGATTCCATGCTTCATTTCTCCTCCATTTCAATCGATTTGCGCTTTTAATCATCAATTAAACCATGGAAAATTATTTTGATCAGTAAATTGGATGTTTGATATCATGTATGAAAAGTCACAAAACATGAATGATTTCCAATCAAATTTACCATTTTTCTACTAAATTTCAACACATTTCAAACATTTTCAACCCCCCCAAAATGTACGATAATTGCAAATATCTCATTATCTAATCAAAGCCAAATCGGATTGTTAATTGATACGCACTTTGTTACCTGTCTCAAATAGCAATGCTTTTGTCATATTTCTCAAGAACATCTTGTCCACCTTTCAAAAAGGATGACAAACACAGCACAGCAGAAGCTTCAACTACAGTTTACAGTCCTTTTTTCCATTGATTTTATATTGAAACATAAAAGAATATATGCTTGACTTCGCTCTTTGAGCTCTAAATCGTACTTTAGCCTTTCAAATGCTTCCACTTCTTTAGTATTCAGTCAAACTATGACGTGAAATCTCAACACAATTGCATAGAAAACATTCTTCTTCTGCACTCTTTATACTTTCCTCACAAGTTCTGTCGTTAAACATTTATCAACTTAGAGGACTTGAGATGTTACATTTTCAGCCAATGTTCCGTGTATAAATCCAATTATCTCAACACTCTCCTGTCCAATATGAACCTTAATCACAGATTGTGAGCTTCTGTGATGAATTTATCAGCTAATTCCTTTCCAATAACAACATTAATGCACTTCTTTTTCCTTCCTTCATCTCTCTAAAATCAATAAACCAAAGCATGGTGAATCATGTTTCACAATTCATTAAATTTTCTCTGGCATTTCATCAAATTCCAAAAGTATCAAAACTTCTCAAGAATCCCCACAAAATCTCCTCCACAATTTGATTTGTGGCTTCAACATATTCAATTAACTGAGTGAAATTCATATTAATACTCACTGTTCAGGATTGCAGTTCTTCAGCCACGCCGACTTGAGCGCATCCTCGGCCGTGATTCGCCTGTCCGGATCCAACTCCAGCATCCTGTCGAGCAGATCCAGCGCCGTGCCGGGCATGAAGATGAACTCCTCGCGCAGCCGCCGCCTGTGCTGCTTCTTTGGTTTGAGCGTGTGAAAGAGCGGCAAATTGATGATGGTCGGCCACACGGCGGGCGTCGGTGTGCCGCACAGGCGTGATATCAGGTCCAGCTGCAGCGCCTCCACGTTGGCCTGGAACAGGGGCTTCTTGAGGAACAACTCGCCCAGAATGCAGCCGCAGCTCCACACGTCTATCGACGGCCCGTAGCGCTCCTCGCCCAGCAACAGCTCCGGCGGTCGATACCACAGCGTGATGACCTTGTTCGTGTACGGACGCTGGCGGTCCTCGGCATTGTACAGGCGCGCCAGGCCAAAGTCAGCCAGCTTCACTTCACCTCTGCAAAGACAATCAGTGCGAAATGCAGTCAGTCAAGCGACGGCGAGGAATTCTCTGCCGCATATGTTCGACGTTTCAACGGTGAAACGTTTTAGGGAGTCTTTAGCACAATTGTTAAATAGAGTTTTGATACATTTGAGTATGAGAATAAACACTGAAATTATTCAAAAACATCTTTTGATACTTAATATTTTCACTTCATCACTAAATTCTTCTATTATTTCAGTTAATATTGCAATAAATAGCAATTAAAACAACTAGAAAGTTATATAAAATAACTAAAAGAGAACAATATCAACAGTTTAATGAAAGACTTTGTGGGAAATTCCGACAATTTTGACTCCTGATTTTGCTTTTGACAACTTATTAAGCAAAATAGAGAATTATTCAGTGAAAACTCTTCTTTGTCTCAATATCAAAACATTCTCTCATCATGTAACTATTGAATAGTGGCATTTTAGCTGGAAAGTTTCCCAAAATATTTACAAAAGCATGGAAATTTTAATGAAAAAAGAGTGACAAAATCACACTCACTTGTTATTCATGAGAATATTGGAACACTTGATGTCACGATGAAGGAAGTTCTTCTTGTGGCAATAATTCAATCCGTCCAGCAATTGACGCATAATACTCGCATTGTTCTCCTCCGTGAACTCCACCATGCCAGACTCCAGGAGTCCCATCAGGTCGTGATCCATGTACTCAAATACTAAATAGAATGATCCCTTGTCCTTCCTAAACTCTAAGGCATCCTGCTTGTCAGTCACCACTTCGCGCAAATTCACAATGTTCTTGTGATTGAGCTGCCGCAGAATCTTAATCTCGCGCACCGCCGTGATGGGAAAGCCCTCCTTCTCATTCTCCAAGCGCACTTTCTTCAACGCCACCAGCTCATTGTTGTGATTATCACGTGCCTTGTACACCTGCGACGACACACGCACATATTCAGAGACACAAGTTCACAAGAAGCGCCCCCACAACTCACCTGTCCGTAAGTCCCCTCGCCAATTTGCGCAATGACTTCAAACACGTCCACACTTCGCTCGCCCCAGTCGCGGCCGCTCGTGTTGGTGCGCGACGCTCTTCTGTGCAGAATCTTGGGACGCTTCCGCTTCACCATGGCCAGCACCTTCTTGTCCAGGCGCCCCAGACGACTCCTGGGCGGCGTCTGGTCGTCGTCGCCGCTGAAATCATCACCGCCGACCACGATCGGCGGCATTGGGAGCGTGAGAACGCCCTTCTTCGCCGACGACGTCGTCACACTGGCGGCCGCCTTGGTCGCCTTCAGCAGCGCCTTGGGCGGCAGCGGCGGCAGGGGCGGCGGCGTCACGTTGCGCGGCGGACTCGGCGTCTTCGTGTCCGCCAACTCCGACACATTCATACCCGGCGGCATTGGCAGCTTCGTGAGACTCTTCGACTTTGGCGCATAAGTGCGCGCCTTCGTGTCACTATTCTCCACTGACATCAGCACATTGTTCACACGGCTCGCATCCTGGGCGGGCAGCGGATTTGTCTGTCCCACCAGCGGAATCTCAATCAGGTTGGAAGTCATCTGTGTCGTTGGAATTGGAATGTCCACAATGTCCATGTCCTGCAAAGAGATACACACAGTGAGAAACACTGACAAAAGGACTCCCAAACACTCTCTTCACACTCACTATAGTTTGATTATTGTTGCCGCTGTCCCTGATGCCATTTGACGTCACCTCGGCGGCCGCCTCGTCGCCCTGCAGCGCCGCGTCGTCCTCCTTCCTCTCCAGAATCTCCTGCAGCGCCTTCTCGCGCTTGTGCTTGTCCTTCACCAGCTCGGCAAACAAACTCGTGTCGCTGATCTTCTCCTTCAGATCGATCTTCCTGATCGGCGGCGTCTTCGAGCCCTCGCGCATCGGACTCGCCGCCTTGGACTTGCGCGGCGAGCCGCCCCTGAACATCATCCGCGGACTGCGGCTCTTCGAGTGCAGCCGCGACGTCTTCAGCGGCGGCGACCCAGGCGGACTGTACGGCCGCTTGCGCGCACGCGACGACGATCTGCGCCGGTGAGCGGGCGACAAGCTGCCGGAACGACGCGGCGAGCGCCGTGGAGAGCGCCGCGGAGACCGCCTGGGCGATCGCCGTGGCGTCCGCCGGCGCGAGTCTCGCCGCCTGTCCCAATCTCTCTCCTTCCTCGCCGACGACGACGTGCGACTCTTGTACTCACCACGATCACTGGATCTCTCGCGCGGCACCGCCGAGTGTCTGGAGCGCCGAGACGACGGCGACGAGTACATCGAGTGACTGTGATGATGATCATCTGGCCAGGAAGAGACAACAAACAGCGTCAGCGTTGCCATTGCCAACAGAAACACCTGCTCTCGAGCGGACCTCTTCGTCCAGGCGTTCAATAAACGACAAATCATTCAACACCGAGCAGAACAGAATTTTCCCATGAAATCAGTTGAAAATCTTACAACAATTTTTAAGTGTTTTTCAACACTATTTTTCTGTCATTTTAAGATGCAGAACCAAGAGAATATTTGATTTTATGACCCGAATTTCTTTCAGTGTAAAGTAAATTCCACATTTTCTTCATGTTCTGCAACAAATTCCAAGTGAAAAAGAGGTAAAATGAGTCCCAAAGAACGCCCCAAAGATCTGTACTCACTCGGAGACTTGGCGCCCTCGCTGCTCTCCGCCTTCTTGTGGCTGTGATGGTGATTGGCGGGCGGCGCCTCGGCGTCCGGGCTGTGATACTTCCGCGTGTTGAGCGGCGGCGTGTGCGGCGAAGCCGCGAGCGTCTCTGCGCGCTTCCGCTCCGCGTGGCCGCTCTGCCGGCTGTCCGGGCGCAGTGGCGGCGTGGAGGGCGAAATGGGGCTGGCCTCGCGCACCACCGGCGGCGTCTTGGCCGGCGGCTCCTCCTCGGCCACCCTCGGCGGCGGCGTGAGGCTGTCCACGTCCAGCACCGAGTCATTCTCCGAGATGCTCTCCACGCTGCTCACGGATTTGTGGCGCGCGTGCTTTTTCCTCTTCTTCACCTTCTTCGACTTCTTGTGCTTCTTGTCCTTCTTCGAGCGCTTCCGCGGCCGCTCGTCGTCCTCGAACTCCGCCGCCAGCGTCGGTGACGACACGACGCACTGGATCTTGCCGAAGGCTTCCGGCGAGCGCTTCGACGGACGCGATATGGACGACGTGGACGAGGAGCCGATCGGCGAGCCGATGATCACGCGCCGCGTCGTCTCCGGGAGGTGCGACAGCGCCGGCTTCAGCACCACCTCGCGCTTGTACGAGAGGAAGGGCTTGCTGTTCGCCTGGCCATAACCGAACGCCTCGCCCTCGGACTCCGACTGGATCTCGCCCGCCTCCGGCGCCGAGAAATCCTCAGAGCTCACATCCGAGTACTCCACAATCCGCGAGACGTTCGCCGTGACGGCGGACGGACTGTTGCCATTCTTCTCCTCCGGCGTGCCGTCTCTGGAGCGTCGGCGCTTCCTGGACTTCTTGCCACTCTTCTTTGACTTCTTCCTCTGGTGCTTCATGCTGCGCTCTCTGTCCATTCTCTACTGCCGCGACGAGCACAGAATTGTGGGGCTGTGCGGAGGCACTCTAGCGGGAAACTGCAACACACAAGGAATCCGAAAGCTACACTCTCTGGAAAATTCCCCCGGACGAAGGGAAGTGAGGTTATGATCGATCACAGAGGAATTTCCCCAAGAAAACCCAACTCAGAGCCCAAATTTCCACGCAAATCCCACTCCAACCACCCCAAGACGCGTCACTGTCCGGGAATTCACTGCAGTTTACCACGCAATGGGGGCGTTTTGCGTGGAAAACCGAGCAACACTGGCGGAGCCCCCATGAGACGTCACAGCAAGATGGAAAAGTGTCCACCAAAGTGGCACGGAAGGCTCTACTCACCCATTTTCCAGTGCACATCCACACAAATCACCTACAGCACCACCAGAACACCTCACATTTTCACCACACACGAATTTTCTCAGTCAATTTTCCTCCAAGAGAGTCAACTTGTTTCCAATCAACAACTTCTGCGCTATTTTCTCAGCTATCCTCGCGCTGCTCAGCTTCTCCAGCACGCCTCAGTTCGCGTATCCTCTCAGTGGGGCTGCGGGCATTCAAATTCAGCGTTCCTCCTTGATGCGAGTCCCATTAAATCCCATTTAATTTCATCATCGCGAGGCTCCGCCATGAAAGAAAATCTCTTTAGCATTGATCGCTTCCGTGGTCAGACGCCCAGTGGCGCTGCGAACAGGAAAGCCACGCGAGCGCCACGCGCGGCGAATAGCATTTCCGCGCGCGATGCAATCGGCAGAGTCATCTAGTGGGAAAGCATGTTCAAATCTCTCTATTCCACCATCAATTGATTAATGTACAATTCATAGGGAATCTTGCTGGTCTGCGCGTCCACGGCGATGGCCATCATCTCGTCCAGTTCGTCCTGGCTGAAGGGCTCGCCCTCCTCCATCATCAGTTTGGCGAGGAAGTCGCGCGGAATGAAGCCCTTGCCGTCCGGATCGAGGATCTGGAAGGCCTTCAGGAGCCTCTCGGGCGCCGCCGGCTCCATTTTGCGCTCCAGCAGCAGCTGATGGACGTGCGGCAGGAACTTGGCCAGGTGCACAGTGCCATTGGAGTCCTCAAACTCCGTGGCGGAGATGATTTCGTTGATTTCATTCTCCGTTGGAACGCAGCCTGAGAAGGAATTTTTGGCGGGATTTCAGGACACTTTTGCGCGCCAAAATTGAAGCAATTTGAAAGTGCTGAACAAGAACTGAACCAACTCAACACTTTTAGAGACTTCTGGCCACAATTTCTTCCCCTTGAACGCCTCATTTTCCATTTTACTCACCCAGAAACCTGAGAATTGTGCCAATTTCCCTCACATCGACGACTTTGCTGCCGTGGTGGTCGAAAATGAGGAACGCATCGGCGATCTTCCTCTCCAGATCATTGGTGATGTTCACTGGAAAATGGAAAATGCGCGCCAAATCATTAGCAAAGTGTGGGAAGAGAGAAACAGCTGCAAATTACCCGGAATGTCAGCTTCTTCCATGGCCTTCTGCGCTTGTGAACTGATTATTCTTCCCATCGACCAAACATATTCAAACACGCCATTTGATCGATATTCCAGCAATATTTTATTCACTGCAATATGTCATCTTATAAAGCACCAGTCTATTCTATTCTTTTCCCCACTTCTTCTTCTCCTCCTCTTCTGCGATCAAAATTGCGCTGCTCGTGAGAAATTCAGGGCGAGTAAAGTGTGTAAAATTATGCGAATGCTGAGTTTCCCTTTCATATTTACTGTCCTTCTTTTTAGCTCATCTTTATCACAATCATTGTTTTTTTCTTCGCTAACTTCCCCGCGCTTTCTCACTGCTTTTATACCCAAATGTTAAAACTATGCCCAGATCTTATGAACTATGAAGAAGAAGAAAATAAAAACCTACGTAAAGCGATGTAATTACATGTTTTCTGCCTTATCGCTAAACAGTAAATATATTGTGTGTTTGTGTGTGTGTGTAAAAGTCAAAAACACTTCTTGTCATGGTTCAATAGGTGCGCTTTTGCATGATTCCGTTTCTTTCTTTCTCTCTTTTCTGTTGTAAATTGCGTATAAAAATTTATATAATAAATATATTATGTAGATTGTTTAATATAAAAAATACACACAAGAGGGAAATATCAAAGAGGTTTTCTCACTTTGTCTTTTTGTCACCCCCCCCCCCAAAAAGGCCCCGCGTTCGTTGGATCACAGGTCCATCTCCTCCATGGTGCGCGACAGACGGTGGCTGTCGATGCGGCGCCGCTGGCTGCGCCGCACGGCGTCCGCGCGCCGGTACGGCTCGCTCTTGAGGCCCAGCAGGATGTCCTCCAGCGCGCCATTGTACACCTCGTCCTGCTGCAGCAGCTTCTTCTCGCGCACGGCATTTGTCTTACTCTTCAACTCATTAATTACCGCCTCCTGTTCAGTTCGAGAGACTCATCAGGCAACGCCGGCCAACTGCTCAAGCGCAAGCTTCTTCTTCTTCCCACCCAGAAGCACTCCCGCGAATGCGATCAGAGTGCAGAGGAAGGAACAGAAAGACATGAAGATGGAAGTGGGATTTTAAGGCTCAATTCAACTTTGAGCGCCTGCAAAAGCGCCTCAAAATATAGTCTTTCTTGGAGTTTGACGAATGTTTTGAAGCAAAAAAATTGGTTGGAAAAATCAAGGAAAGACCGAAGATTACTGAAAATAATCTCAATATACTTAAGAAACGACTGTTTCAAAGACACAAATTGCCAAATTTCATTACATTTCTATGTCTAGATAAAAGCTTTTCTGCCGCGTATTTTTAGGAAGAATTTAAAATTTAATGCTGCAATTCCTAAAATTCTTTTTTTTTTTAAGGAAGTAATTTTTACAGAAATAGCAAAAACTGATTCAAAACACTTCAATTCCAATAGATTCTCAAGCGATTTTTCACCTCGATTTTAGCCTTAAGTTGAATTGAGCCTTTCTTTGTCGTTTGCATTTAACTACTTCAGTGAATTTTATGGGAGGCGAGATGAGAAGAAGCCTTGCGAAATCATTAAAAAACAACAACAACAACAACATTGATGGGAATGCCAATAAAGTCAACACAAACTATTCTAACCCCATTAAGAACGAAGGAAAAGAAAAAAATCGTGTGAAATAATTTGTCAACTAACACCAAATTAGCCACAAAGGAAACATTGCAATAAAACAGTAAAATGTGTGGAACTTGTCATGAAGATTGTTTCTCTATTATTTACGTAAGACCAAGAAATAATAGCAACAGAGATAAAAACGATAAAAAGCAATGAAATTGCTGTAGAAATAAAATAGAGATTTCTGCTCTCTTTTTTTCTCTCTCTCTCTCTCTTCCACCTTGTCAAGTTTATATCGATGATATTGCGATGAAATTATCAATCTCTATAGTACAATTAAGACCTATTTACAATTAACAAAATGCTCATATTCTGAGTGACATGAAGGATACCGAAAGCCATCTAAAATGAGCGTGACTTCAACCAACAGGAGGTGACAAAAGGAGTTACGCCACGAGATTTTAACACATGCTACGACTCTAGCGTTATGCTGTGCAGAAAATTAGAGGAGCGTGAAAGGCGTATTTCGGGTCGTACCTGTTGCTTCTTCTGATTGTTGATCTTGTTGCGCAGCACAACTTCCTCGTTCTCCCTCTTCGTGGCCGCCAGCGCGGCCGCCTGCTCCAGTCGCCGGCGTTGCTCGTTCTCCTGATCTGCCGTCTGTCGCAAAGACGGAGGAAGAAACAGTGTGATTTACACCAAGTAAACACACTCAAGAATAGAGTGTCCTGAATTCAGATCAACAAGAAACACTGACCTTGAATGCTCTGACAAAGCGCACGAGCAACGAGAAGAATGTATTGGCGTCTGTACTCCGCGATGACTCGCCGAAGAACTCCACGCACTCCTTGAAGCTCTCCTGGGCGCTCTTCGAGTCGATCTTGATCTTCTTCAGCTTCTCCTCCGAGTTGTTGAGGAAGTCCCTGAGCACGTGATTGTGCGGACCCTTTCCGCGCAGCTCCGCCTCCTTCCTCACCGCCTCCATGCCCTTCTCCAGCTCGTGCACGTCCGTCACCACATTCTCCAGCGACACCTGCGCCGCCTTGTCGATGCAGAACAGCTCCGCGTCGAAGCTCAGCAGATCCGGAAACGACTGTCTCATCGTGGCCACGATGAAGTGCAGCAAACACGTCCGCTTGTCCGTCGACTTCGTGTCCAGCAGCGTGTCGAGACTCTGCAGCTTGAATCCGTACGCCGGACCGCGCTTGCTGCTGTTCATGTAATTGCCAAAGGCCAGAATGATCTCCAGAACCGCCTTCAGCTTCTTCGAGCTCTTCACCGAACTCGAACCATTGATGATCGCATAGATTTGCTGCAAGCAAGTCAACGAGAGGTTTATTTCACTGCCTTCCACGCCACATTCGAACAGAGCAAAGTGCAAAAACTCACCGGACTGATCAAGTGAATGCTGTCAAAGAAGTTGCCAATGTAGTTCATGATGGACAATTTCGACGATATTCTCTCCACTTTGGCCAATTGCATCATGAACTTGTCCTCATCCGTGAGCAAATTCAGATCCTTGCGCTCACTCATGTACTCCTTGTACGCCTTCACCTCCTGCTCCGTCGGCACCATCTTCTGCAGAATCTCCACATTCTCCAGCGACAGTTGCTTCAGATCCAGATTGTTTATCGCCCGGATCACCATTTCAGCGGGCATCTCGAGCTTTCGCCGTGAAATTGCTGCAAAACATTGTGCAAAAAAAAAACCAAACCATTTGTTAACACGCATCGCGAGTGGGAAAAAGTGAAAACCTTGATTGTAAATTGGCGGGAATTGCGGAAATTGAAATTTTGCACTTGCATTCTCTCTCACACTCACCGATATTTCTCAGGCGCGTGTGCTCCAGAACGGACACATTCTCCGGCTTCTTGAATCGCTTGCTGGGGAACGACGTGAGGCCATCGAGCTCAGAATTGCCATTGGCAAAGCCTCCGCCGTGGCCAATCTTGAACCTCTCCTCAAACTCCACGAAGTTGATCTGCTTGTACAGTCGCTCGTCGTCCAAGTCATTGAAAATGGTCCCTCTCACCTGCAAAAAACCACTCCCGGGCATTAGAATCAGGAAGCTAGCCGAGAGTCCATCAAGCAACTTGTGACTCAAAATACTTCTTATTTTACTACAGAAGAAGGCGTAATTCGAAGAAAAACACAATCTGGACTTCTTGGAAGCAGCAAAATTCCAATGTTTATCAATCTTTCCGATGAGAAAAAGTACTTTTTGCTCACTTATCATAATATTGAGCTCAAAATCACACTTTTTTTTTAGAAGATTTGAGTTTAATATCGTCTTAAAACGTTCCTCACCTGATTTGGTTTCAGCGCCACCCAATTGAGCGTCGGTAGCTTGTACTTCGTCTGCACCTTCCGCTTGATGGTCATTGCGCCGTCCGGCGCTTGCATCTGACCGGCAATCGGCGGCGGCGGGATGGGAATGAAGGGTGACGCCCGGCTGACATTGCGAGCGCTATTCGGCGGTGGTGGCGGACAGGGCGGAGCAATTGGCGGGGGTGGCGGAGCGAGAGCAGTGCTGGGCGGCGGTGGTGGAATTGGCGGCGCTTGGGCGACTTCCTGTGGCGTCTGCTGTGCCATCTTCTGAATGATCAGCGACTCCTCCTCGCGCTGCTTCAGCACCTTCCGCAGCGTCGACACCTCCTCGTCCGTCTGGCGCGCCTTCTGCTGCATCTCATCGCACTCACTGCGCACCCTCGTCAGCTCCGACTCCAGCTCCGCCAGTTTGTACATGAACTCCCTCTCCGTCTCCGCCACACGATCCATCGCCCTGCCCAGATCATCCTCCAGCTCCTGCACGCGCTCCAGCGCCGCCGTCTTCGTCTCGCTGTCCTCCATCAGCGCCGCCACGTCGAACACATTGTCCAGATACGCCGAGATCTGCACATGCAGCTCCTCAGACTCCGTGAGACGCAGCTTCTCCAGATACCCATCCAGGCCCAGAGCAGTGAATTCATACTGCAGGTGCACGCGGTAGTTCATGTCCTCCACCGAATGTACAACAATATTTACAAATTGCATGCACGCAACCATGAAGTCGATGTTGAACAACTCATAGTTGATGAAGTACTCCATCAGCGTCTGGAAGCGCTTCGTCTCATGGCAGATCTACAACGGCGCGCACAGAGAAAAGAGGGGAAAGTTAATTTGAATGTCAACAAGAATCACGAAAGAGAGGAAAAATGCCCAAAATGCTCTTCACCTCTTTGAAATTGTTGAAAGCCGACAAGATAATCTCGTGACCACCCTTGACTAAGCAAATCGCCGCCAGCAGCTCCAGCACCAGCGCCTTCGTGCGCAGCGACTTGTGGATGAGACTCAGGGCGATGCAGTTGATCGCCTCGCGGTGCTGAATCACCATATTGAAGCCATACTTGTTGTTCATGATCGCCCTCAAGCACATGATGCACACGTGAATGTCGTCCGTCGAGGCGCCCATGTTCAGCTTCGCGATGTGCCTGGAGCGCCTCTTCACACTGGGACTGTCTATCAGCTCACCCAGGCCCGGCCTGATGCCATTCGGGCGCACACATGTGGGCGACGACAGTTCATTGCTCCCCGTCGCATTGGACGACGAGAGGTTCACCGTTGCGTCCAGTCGCTCCTCACTCTCAATGCGCGCCTCTTGGATCCTCTGCTCGTGGCGCATCATCGACAGCCTGAAGCTGAGATAGTCAATCAGCGCGTCCAGGCCCTGATTCTCCTCATCCAGAAACTCCTTCACCCACTCAATGTGATTCGTCCGCAAGGATATCTCCAAGTCCCGCAGCACTTGCGTCGACGTTGACTCACCCACGATCTTCCGCTTCTGCAATGTAGAAATTCATCCGTGAGAACTTCGCCACACACACACACACACTTTCTCTACTCCTCCTTCTCACTTACTCGATGACTCCGTGAGGCCTTTGGATCCAAATATGTCCTCAATTTTGTCAAATAGTGCGACGGTGGATCTTTCGCGTGAACCATTTCCTGTGAGAAGAGAGCATGAGAAGCACAAAACGATGAGTAAACGCAAATATTATGTAAACACACAGAGAAAACATGATAAATCATTGTTTGATTTTTATGCGGGAAAAGATTACATAGAGAGAAAATCACTCTCAAGGTCTGGCATTTCTCTTCACTCACCAGACAAGCAACTCAGGCAAAGAGAGAGCACAATAAGCCACGCCCACTCACAAACCCCGCCCAATTGACAGACAATTTGCCCATTTCCACCCTCACAAGTGGCGACAACATCATTAATGACACGCATCTATTGAGAAATTCACTCTAATGACCATTCCTAAAGCATTATAGAACTTACAAATCACAGGAAAATGTGTCCAACAATCAATGACACAAACTCATCAATAATTCAGGATCAGGAACTCATCAGTGCCTTAGCAGCCATTCTTAATGCTTTTCGCAATTGATATTCTTTATAGTTAATTGTGAGAAACAAGCCATGTGTTTGCCCAAATTATTATCATAGACATTTTATTGTCAGTTGCAAAAGAACTATTAGAGATTTATTGTGTAACTCTTAATGCACTCTTTATTACCGCGAATTATCACTGATATCAAGCCTTGACATTCAAATCACACAGCAAAACTGTTTTCGTGCCTTAAAGCAAAGGTACTTTAATTGCGACAATGCACAATTGCACATGCAATTGGGCGGAGCTTGAGAATGGGCGGGGCTTCTTAGAATCTCCGCTTTACTTATCGCTGAGCAAGAAATTCAAATTGTCACTGGAAGTTCAATCAGTAATCCAAGCATTAACAAATCAATTGCAGAACGCAAAGCGCCTCATTAGTGATGTCGTCAACATTTCAGCTCATCAGGGTCAAACTGAGCAACATTAAACTTTCCTTAGCCTCTAAATTTGATTTCTTAAGTCAGTTCTAGATGAACCATTCAAGTAAAATGCATTCAATTGCAATTCTCTGTTGTCTACTTCTCGCATCATCCTCAATTTCCGCATGGAATTGTTCGGAAGTTCATGGAATTAAGCACACAAATACATCTCAAACGTGGTATCCAGTATTCTTCGGCTATCCTTTATATCGCGAACAGAGCATCTTTATATCACTACTCTTCGCACACATTTCTTGCTGGACATTTTCTGTGGTGACACAAAACGACAGTGTTGAAATAGTGTCAGATCTCACTGAATACAATCAATTCTGTGAAAGTAATATTACATGGTGCGATGATTTTTCCTTTTACAATGAAATTATGGGCAATAGATTCATTGACTATCGCAATGTTCAAGTGATAAAGCAAAGTGACGACTTTATTGCCGTGAGTGATTGTCGAATTTGGCGTGACAACACAACGAAAAACGTTAAAATACACGATTATGGACTCGTTGTGGGAAGTCGACAAAATCCTGCCAATATCACATTTGGTAGTCTTTTACAACAGAAATTCGCCAAGGAATTGCTGGATTTCATGATTCCTGACTTGAATCTCACATTCAAAATTGGCTCTTTTGACGGTGGATTTTCTTTTGTCTTTAATCTCTCATATCTTATATGTCCTAACAAATGTGCAGCACCAAATTGCAAGAGTCTCACTGACACAGGTGCTTTTGACTTAAATCTAGTAGAATCTATGTATCCACCTAAAGAAGAATCTAACAATTTACTGCACATTATGTTCATTTTAAGCGCTTTAATTCTCTGTCTTGCACTCACATTCTATGGCTTTTGGAGTTGGTATTCATTCAGAAAATCTATCACACACGATAAATCATGCAATGACTCATGAATCCTAATCAAGCACTTGACTTGGAGTGTCTTTCTGGAATTTGCCAAAAATCCGTCACTGACTATATTTATACAAATGTGTAGAACATTGCACAGTTCTCCGTGTTAACATGCACAACAAATGCCTTTTTCCTCCACTCTTTCTGAGTCACGAAACATTTTTTCGCTATCTTTTTTTTTCTTTTCTTTTCACAAGAGACACACATAAACTGATCATAAAATAAAAGCGATTGAAGGACGACTGGAGCGGAAATAAAAATTATATTACAATATGCAGCGAGATAAGAGATAAACAGCGAAATTCATGCGTTAACATCTCATGTTCAGTCAATTTGTTAATAAATATAATCAAATTCCACTCTCTCACAGTCTTTTCACTCTGTGCGTTCCCTGAAATTACGCTCTTGTACTACATTTATATACAGCACACACACACATTTTCTGTGTCACGCTCGCAAAGCACAAAGTTGCCTCTTGAATTGAAGTCAATTGACTTGACTGCCGGAACCTTTGGCACTTTCAGTCGCCCCTTCAGCACTCCCCGCAGCCTCCCTTTTAGAGTGCGCGCACTCAAGTGTATTTTACCCAGTGAAAAGTGATTTCGTAATGAATATCGGACAAATCTTCTACGCACAATATCTTATGCCATGAAGATTAACGCTCTTTCTGCCACTCTCGCAACTAATTTGCATAACATTTGAAGGTTACTGAACGATAAGCCTTCGCACAGACATTTACGAGCACAACTCGCCATCACTTAATCTTCACATGGAGCAATTCATGAAAAATTGCGATGAATTTACTGCCACAAAGCCTCAGCAGGGGAACAATTTTGTCCACTGGAAGTTGCAAGCGTTAAAATGAAGGGAAATTTTCATGCCATTCCACTAATTGTTGACTGTTTCTTAATGAAGGAAAATGCCCAGGATCTTAGCTAACATTCTCCTATCGCTTTTCCATCGACTTCTTCGTCAAATTGCACTCCAAATAGCTGAATATTACTTAATCTTCACTACGCCACTGTCAATATCTCTCCCACAATTGCTAATTTTCCTCACTCTCTTCACTCAAATGCTGCAAATGTTAAACTCCCATGGATGATTCATGTGATTTTTTTTCCTCATCTTCCCCCGCGCAAAATCACTGCGTTTATGGAAAGTCTCAACAACGCAATCCAGTCAGTGGAATATCATTCCAATGGATGTGGGCAAAAGCGGAAGAAACCACCGAAGACAAGACGAAGAGAATCACAGTGTTATTTATGATTATTATTCGGGTGTGCTTTTACTCGACGTGTTCAATGAGCGTTTCGGGGAAATGATGTCATTTGGACAATTAATTATTGATACCCATTATATTCATGGCAAATCTCTTCATAACTCCTCAGCTGTATTCATTTGTATTTGCTTGTGTTCTCACAACACACAAAAAAAAACTCGCCCAGCGAATGAAAAAGAATTCTTCATCAACTATTCTGCGTCTCTCTTCCTAATCTCATGATCATGAAGCAACAAATTTAAGCTCATTGAACCTTTTTTTTCGCCTTCTTCTCTCCCTCACTTTTTCCATTCTTTCACCAGCCACAACACTTCGCCGACAACTTAATTAATCAGCATAATATTCACAAGAGCACGCTGGTTTTGTCTTTTTCTACTCTTTTTCTCCCTCCACTCTGGCTCAGTGTGTTCATGAGAAAATTGGATTAATTACCTGATCACATATTATGTCCCATTTCTTCTCATCGTCATAATTCTTCAGCAATTTCGCCTTGTCCGGTGGTAAATCCATTGATGCCTGCAATTAAAGAGTAGCAAATTTATTAGCCTCAATTGTCAGCTCATTTTGTCCACTTAAGGTGGAATTATGTGGGAAACAAAGCGACTGATTTACTCCACAGGGTAATCAACCGCTTATCATTTAAGCATTTGATAAGCTGTATTGTCACAGTGGATTATTATCAATGAGACAAGATACAGCTGCTATGATTAATTGGTGAAATTATGAATGAAATTCTCTTCATTCCAAACAATGTGATGACATTCAATTAAAGCCCATTTTTTCTAGGAATATTTGAGACTTGTTTGAGCAGATTTTCTCTCTCTCTCTTTATTCCCATTAAAATACAAAGATTTTTAGCTAGAATATGTAATTTTCTTCAACACCCTGTCAAACTATGAAACAGCATCGAACATTACAAACACAAATCTCGCGCACACATTAAAAATCTCACCACAAATTAAACCAAAGCGATTTTTCATGCGAGCACGATGGCAATGATTGTCGCACCATCTCACATGGCATCACTTTAAATAGACTGTGCAGCACTGGAGGGTAGTTGAAATAGAAAATACAGTTTGATAGGCCAACATCAACAGCATTATCACTTTTGTGGCGGCTGCCATCGGGCATGAATACAAAGTCGCTCTTTGTTAAGCCAAATCCCACATCGTCATGTAGCGTTAGAATTCCGCGCTCTGCCCTTTCTATTTAATTGGCAAATCCCGGCGCACATGCAAATATTATCACTTCGTCTCCATGGAGCTGAGAAAGAAGTCCATTTAGCAAATTGGAAAAGGAAAAAAAATACACCGCGCGCCTGCCTTACACATAAATTGAGGTCATGAAAAGTATGTGTGTTTATGTAGAGAAAAATACCAGCATCTATTGGAAAATTACTGCTCAATTGCATTCAATTAGATCTATTTTTGGGAGAAGGAAGAAAGGCCACAAAATGGGAAAAAATGTTCTGTATTTGTTTGTGTGCTTCAGAATGGAATGCCAATACAAAATTCTCTCTCTCTCTTTCACCAGCACAAACAATGGTCAGGAGTTGTCGAGAGTAAATAGTATTGAAATTTTGGGTCACCGGAAAAGGAAATGCATTTAAACAAACCAATGTGAGAGTGTGAAACTTGTATAGAACAGTCCCCAGAACGCATGACGGTGAAAGACGGAAGAAATGCTGAAACGTGATAGAATGCTGCTTCTCTTCCCAAAGCGCAACACATGTTTTTTTCCCCATTGACCAACAACCCGTGACAATGCGACAATCAAATATTGCCTTCTGCAACTCCCTGTCAATTGTTAAATCAAATGTTGACCAATTGCCATCTCCAGAGGCAGTTGAACTCCTTCACACCTTCTGCTGATCCTCACGCCAGTGTCAAGAAGACTTTCCATGCTGTTGGGCCGCCAATTAACTGCGTTTTCCTTTTCAATTACACGCGCACAACAAGCAATTTGCTCTCCGCAAGCAAACAACGCACTTTTCTCGCTGAATTCATAATTTGATCTCTCTCTCTCAAGAAGGGTGATCTTCGATATGGAACGGCCATCAGATTCAATTTCACTCTCAATTCTCTTTGTCAATTACACTGGAAGTGTCAATTATTGATACGGCAACTGGTTGTTGGCGCTCTTAACACTTCATCTACCGCTCAAACTTGAGAGAAAAGAACCATTTTGATCCTCAACATTCTCAATTCGATCATTAAGATAAGAATTTAAATAATATTTAAAGAATTTAAATTTATATCTAGTCTTTATCAAAATACTGGTAAATCTGGTGTTAAAAATGTATTTGCAACAGTCTCAGCGATGTGGAAAAAACAACTTTGACAAATAAGCAGAAAAACAAATCAAGAATGGTCGCTAAAAAGCCATTAAGGCACTAAATATTGAGAAATACACAGCAGACTTCCATGGAAAAGTTCGACAATGAATGGAGCAAATTGCAGTGCATTAGAGTGCAATTACGAAAGGGAAATCCACTTTGACAAAAACAGATACAGTTTTTGACAAATGCCCCAAAAAGGCCCGAAAGAGAGAGATAAAGATCGCACATTTCACTTTTATTGGACATGAAAGAGGGAAAAAAAGAATGGCGCGCAGGTAAGCAATTTGTCATCGACGAGAGACGATTTGACAGCGCATCGGAAAATTAATTTGCAACCCCTTGAACTTTTCCCTCCGATGCGAATGAATGAATTCCTACGAATGGTGACGCCAGTCTGGAGAAATAAATAGAATAATCGTCATCATTGTCAATTTCTCAAGTGTGTGAAAGAGAGAAGAAAGGAAGAAGTGAGTGATAGATTTGCGCTAAACCCCTCTGACCGAAGCCAACGGTGATAAATGGCATGATTAATTGAAGACGGAAATGGATAAGTGATAATGCACTTCAGCACAAGACAACTTGAGGCATCGCATCAGCACAATCGAAAGACTCTCTCGCCTCGGTTCATTGTCTAGACCACATTTTCTGTCGATACAACAATTTGCCATGCACTCATTAGCAAAACTTCCAATGTGTGTTTTTATTCCGTCATTCAACTCAAGGATGACTGTAAAATTACATCACACACTTTCTCAAGCAGTCTCTCTCTATCTATCGTGTACAGAAAATCGTCTTTCTGATCGCTTGCGCGACACTCCCAGAAACTTCCTTCAGTCCTTCAGCAACCATTTCAATCGACAGCATGAATTTCAATACTTCTCATCCCTCCTCTTCAGTCTCACTCCAATATCTTGCCCACAAACTATCGTCTCAGCTTCTTACACACAAGAGAGAAAGATATTCTGTACCACTGCGATCGAAAAGTACAACGAAGAATTCTCGGCTGAAGAGCTCAAAATGATAATATTGAAAGTCAAACATTTGGAATTCAAGATAAATTTTCCTTTAAAATAATATTCTGCAAACGAAGTGTGAAATTATCTAAAAAATTGTGTAAAAACACTAAATTCTTTAATCTTTTCAATTCAGCGAAAAATCATTGCTTTTCCATGCTAAATTCAATGCTGTTGAACACAGTTTTTGAATGGCGCAGTGCAAGAATGCAGCAGCAAAAGTGGCACCAAACCGATTGATCACAAAACACCACCCAAGAAAACTGGTTATTAGACAAGCGCTGTGCGCACATGAAAAGTCTCCCTTTTTCCTCAAAATGCATCTCAATGCATTGCTCTGTCGCGCACACTCTTCCTCACGACGCACATTTGTGAGCGCAGTCTAGAAATACACTCACACACAAGATGGATTATTGGAAGGAAGCGAGAGCGCGTAAAAAGATGCCCATATAGGCGTCAGCCCGGAGAATTATTTTCATGCCTTATTTACATAATTTCGAGTGAACTCCTCTTACTTATCCCTCCGATTTTTCTCTGTCACCATATGGAAATTTGTGTGTGGTGAGAAAACCCACATTTGGATAATTAAAAGGCGAGACACTTGCACACCCCTTTTTTTTCTTACGCCTCAAGCAATCCTTCAATGTGTAAAGAGAAAAGAGGGGAGAAAAATTCCCGGAAAAAATCGCCAACAATTGAGACACCATTTTTCTCAGATTGTTTTATTCAAAATTCAATACCATCAGTTGAGCATGAGGAAATTCGCTGAAATGCACGACATCACAGCCTTTTTCTCTATAAATACAACAAACACAAAACACAATCAATTGCCAGACATTGCGTCATATCTCCAGTGTTTGATTCAGAGCCTTTAAGGCATCGTTCATCCGAAAACCTCTGCACTTTCTTGCGTCTTTGCTTATTTTCCTCACTTTTTTTTGTCTTTCAACATTGAATAACAATCTAAAGTTACAATAAATATTTTTCACTTTTTACATTTCCCCCTCCCCCTTAAAAACGCCACACAATGTCAATGAGAAATTCACATTGTAAATGTCAAGCAAAAGACATGAGCAAACAACAAAACAAGCGCATTTCTTTTTCACCACCGCGTGAAAAAAATGAGCTTCTCAGCGATCATCTCGTCAAATGCAAAAGTCTTTTGCCAAAAAAAAGAACAACAATTGCAACGGAAGTTTTAAGAAACGAAAAATATACACACATGCCATTAAACCATCCGCCAAAACTACTGTTACACTTATCAAAACTTAGTGAGTCTCTCCGTGAAGTGCTCAAAAACCATCAAATCGTAAAAATTTCTCAAGCTCAACCGACTGTTATCGCGTCGCCTTAAATATTTATCAGGAAAAAAACTCTCCTCTCTCACTCTCTGCAGCCAACGAATCTTCTCTGCTCCTCACCAACTGATCATTATCAGATCTTTTGCCAATTTCTGGCCACATGCGCCTAGAAAGATCATCTCTCAGGGTTTCTCGCTTGTCTTTTTTCCTCTCTCTCTCTTCCAGGCGCAATCCTCAGAGCGACGCCCATCGGAGCATTCTCGGAGAAATCATGGTGTCTGGCCACGGCAGAATGCCGCACGAAGAATGTGAGGGAAAGAAGTGGAAGAGCAAGAATCCGAGTGCGACAAACACCCACTTAAAAATTCGAATTGTACTTCATGTTGAGCTGCAACTCGACGCTCTTCACCACAAATGCACCACAGATATTGGAATCGTATTAGAAAGGACGCGTTCTAGTATGATTGGGACGAGTGTTTGCCTCTGTCTTAGGAGAATCCATGGGAATTACTTAGGACAATCTCACATTTCACACCCTTAACATAGTTTTTTGTGTAGAAATTCAAAGATTACCATGAATTTCTGCACAAAACACAAAGAAGTACACTCTGAACATATTTAAACTTGTTAGTCATTAAACATTAAATAGAATGTCTTACGACAGACTACAAGACTTCCATAGGAAAGTCGTAAAGCACAAATATTGTGTTTAAGATCTGAACTAAATTCCCCGACCTAGGTCTCTTCCTACCCTTCATAATGACCTTGACAACAGTTCCCTGTCTCGCTCACTTTCACTAAATTTCAATAAATGAAGCGAGAAAAAACTACAGATTTGGAGTTTGTTTTTATGTGAAGTTTTGGGCAATAAACACGGTCAGCGGGAGAATCTCCGCCGCCGCGAGGCGCCGCTGCCTCTCGCCGCGCCACAAGAGCATCTGTGGAGCAATGACTCGCGGGACTCACCAGAACTTTGGTGAATCTCCTCTCCAGCTCGTTGCGATCCGGCATCGGCTGGCAGCTGCGCCGGACGCTGGGCTGTCGGATGTGGTGGCTGTTGTGGTGGTGCTTCATGTAGCTGATCTCGTCCCGCTGGATGGTGGTGGCCTCGGGCTCGGCCGTCCGGGACGCTGAAATGCCCATCGCGTTGCCAAATTCACTCTCACGTCGCGCGATGACTCATGAACGCCTTTGTTCGCGCTGCTCCATCACAGCCGCCCCAAGTCTACGCCACTGGCACAGTTCCGCGGCGGCGGGCGTCAATTGGCGGCACAGCACAGCACTAATCCGATCACAATTGGGCACTCTCGGGCCCCCATTTGTCCTGCGGCCCGCTCAGGAAGCGCCCAATGGACGCCCACAATGGCGAGACGTATCAACAGGTCGGCGCGCGCGAATTTCTGCACACTCTGCCAACGGCCGCGGGCGCTGCGCACTGGGAAGTACACTGAGACACCTCCGGGGGCACTTTTGGACCAAAAGAGGGGGAGATATGGGCTCTTACATGGACAGGAGAGGCGCACAAACTTGTTCACACGCTCAAGAACCTCACGCTTTGACTGCCGCAATGCAACTGGACACGAAAATACCAGCGAATCGACTTCGCGAAGAGGCCAACAGCAGCGCCTCTGTCGGAGGATATTTATTAGCCGAGACACAATCTAATCAGTCTTTCTCAACAGGATCTTCAGCTGCTTCAGCTTCCTGGACTTCTTCCTGGCTCTCTTGCGTCTCTTTGCTCACCTCCTTGTCCAGGAGATCCGCCCATGGATCTTCCAGCATTGACGGATGGAAGTAGTCGCTGATGGGAATTTCCCGCTTTCCCCAAAAAGGCTGCAAATAAGAAAAAATCGTTATTCTATGAAACAATGCACATTTCACTGCGAAATACTTGGTTGTTCCTTCCTCTGTGACTTTGGGGCGAGTGTGGAGAGAACTGCTGTCTGTAGGGATGTTGTGGGAAGGATTGCCGAAATCTGTTCCTGCCTTGGAAGCCTCTGAATCCCTGATCGCTGCCCTGACTCCTGTTGAAATCGCCATAAGGCGACTGTCCGTTGTCTCCTTGTCCCTGTCTCTGCCTATCAAAGTGAAATGATCGATTCATGATGACTTTTCCACACTTTCCACTCTGTTTTCACGAGAAAACCAGAGAAAAACACAATTGTGTCTTCTGGTAAACAACGGGATATTTTTTATAGCAAATTTTTGTCAATCGTGCCATAACCTCACATTTTCCATACTCTTGTGTAATTTTCCGCCAAGAAAAAGCCATGGTTTGTGCCATTTGCCAGATAAACGAAGGAAATTTCCGCTTTTCCAATGAGACTGAGTGCTTTCTGCACCTCTTGGAGAGCATAAAGATGCACCACATTGGTGAGAATCGCAACAAAGACGCGAATAAGCGCAGTCTGACCTTCATTCTCTTCCACAGAAATGAAAAACAAGTACGAGCGAGTTTCCCGGGAAAATGAGCTGCTGAAGATTGAAATGGACATCCTGAAGACACGCCGGAAGACCGACTCCATGCCACAAACTCCGCCGATATTCCCAGAAGATGAGGAGGAAAGCTCTGCCGGCGGAAACTCCTGGGACAATGCCTTTCTCGCGAACACTCCAGAGTTGGGCAAGGAAAACATGGGCCGGAAGAACAAGAAGGATAAACAGCGATTGCCACTGTCTCCGCGAAAGGACAACTTCTTGACGGAAGACCTGACACTACCTGAAAAACTGCCACAGCGACAGAAATCTGCTACCAAGACGTCTTCCAAGTGGTTCTCGAGCAATAATGAAACCTTCCGGACGCCCAAGTTCAAGCAAACGCGACTCAACTTCAAAGGTGTGGACAAAGATGAGACATTCTGCGAGGAGTTGAGTGAACCGTTGGTGAAGAGAAACAAAGACACACCCCCAAAATCGCGCCTTCAGCTGGAGAACACGGAAATCCATCCGGAAGACACGTTCTTCGTGGACGAGCCAGCCGTGAGGTCATTCCACACGCCGGAGGACTTCTGGAATCTCGGCTTCCCACCCACGCAGCCCACCCAGGAAGCGTCACCGAACGATCGGCTGGCGAGGCGCGGCAGAAAGCGTGAGTAACGTGTTGAAATGAATTTATTGACTGTCTTACAAATTGCCCCGCTTGGCCTGATCCAACTCGATGGCCTCAAAGAGGGACTTGAAGTTGCCGGCTCCGAAGCCCTGAAAGGGATTGAAATGTACTGAAAAGGTGATGGGGAATATAGAGACAATGGAGACTCACGTTGTGGTTGTTTCTCTGGATCACCTCGAGGAAGACTGTGGGGCGATCCTGCATGTTCTTGGTGAAGATCTGCAGCAAGTAGCCGTCCTCGTCGTAGTCGATGAGGATCTGCAGCTCCTGCAGCACCTTGAGGTCCTCCTTCACCTTCACCTTGCTCGTCTGCAGGCGCTTCTTCAGGATGTCATAGTAGGAGTCCGGGATGGTGAGGAAGTTCATGCCGCGCGCCCTCAGATTCCTGATGGCCGTGATGATGTCGTCCGTGTTGAGGGCGATGTGCTGAATGCCCGCGCCGCCGTAGTAGTCCACGTACTCCTGAATCTGCGACTTGCGCTTCCCGTTCGCCGGCTCGTTGATGGGAATCTTCACGGTCTCCTCGTAGTTGGTCATCACGATGGAGCGCAGCGCCGAGTAGTCCGTGTGGATCTGCGAGTCGTCCACGGACCAGAAGCGATGGAACATGAGCGTCTTCTCGTACCACGCCGCCACGCTCTCCATCTGCAAATCGGGCTGATTGCCCACTGTGTGATCGATGAAGTTCAGTCCCACGCGCGGCAGCAGCTTCACCAGCGGATCCTCGCCCTCCATCGGCGCCTTGAAGCCGGGCAGGAAGACGCCGCGGTAGTTCGTGCGCTCCACGAAGGTGTGCGTAGTGTCGCCGAACGTCTGCACCACGGCGAAGCGCACCGTGCCGTGCTCATCCCGCTCCTCCCAGATGTCCTTCACCAGCGTGGCGCCGCGCTGCTTCGCCCTGGCCACAATCACGCTCAGGTCGTCCACCTCGAAGGCGATGTCCTTCGTGCCGTCGCCGTGCTTCACCAGATGATCGCCGAACTCCGTGTCGCCGGGCTCGTACGCGGAAACGAATACAAAAACTATCTGCACAATTAAAAAAGATCCACATTCAGTTACAACTCCCACCGACTGCAGAGCGGTTACTATTCAAATAGCCCCGAGGGGTTTGTCAACCGAGGCAAGAAAGTGTGCGATAAACAACCAATGTTAGAACGTGAAAAAGACAGGAAAAAGCCGAGTTTTTGCACAGAACTTATCACAGCAGTAAAGATTCGGAAAAGAACATTTTTCTTACATTTTTATAACCTGAACCAACGCTTTTTATCACTAGATCAAAATTTCCACGGAAAATTCCAATTTAAAAGCTATAATTTACTTTTTGTGCATGAAAATTATGTCTAGACTTCTAGAGAGAGACTCAATGAAGTCAAGAAAAGTCATGACAAGTTGCGAAAGAAACAATCGTGAAATAATTATCGCAAGAACAACTATTAAAATGGGCAAAAATTCAGACAAGGCAAAAAAAACACTGTTTTCAACTTATTTCTACAAAAACTAACGATTTTCTACGACGAATTCGAAATTTTCAGCGATATTTCCTCCACAAAACATAAGCAAAACAATCTATAAAATAAGATTGACTCAAGGATTGACTTCAAGATTGCCTATGACATTCACAGAAGTGTCGAAGCTGAGAAAAACAAGCATTTATACGTGCCGAAAGTTCATGGGAAACTAGTTCTCAACACTTTAGTAAATCTACTGATGGCGCACTCACTTTATTCTGCTTCACGGCGTGCTTCACGACTTTCCTGCAGTTGGTCTCGAGACCCTGGTAGGCCAGAGGCTCGAATCCCATGCGAGTGACATAGTAGCTGGCGGCCTGCTTGGCATTTCCCACCCAGAAAGTGATGTGATCGAAGCACAGGAAGCGCCCGCCATCGGGTTGGGGTCCCTTGTCTGTGTACGTGGTCTGCAACGGAACGTGCGTTAGCGCGAGACGCGCAAAATTGGCCAGATAAACCGTCAAACTTACCATTCTCACAAACAAAACCTCACTTTAACCTCACAAAAACTGGCAATGTACACTTTTTGAGTGTCTAGAACAAACTATGAGTCGTTCTGCGAAGAAGAGTGGCTTTTATAGTCTCTGGACTGGGGAGATTAAACGAGTTTGTGTCGCATTGTGTCAATAAATCAGCCGCGGAAATGACTTCTACACGTCACGGCTGAACATATGCAAAGTTCCTCCGGTGCTGGACTGATTAACCCCTCGAGATATTTGGCGGGAAAGTCAATTGGAGCGCGCAATGGAAATTTTTCGTGGAAATCCTGTGGAAATTGGGCCAAGATGAGGCCAAAAATGCACCGACACGTGCAAAAGACATGATCAAGCGTCATTTAAATGGGATAAACAAATTCTTGTTTGTCTCTGAGTGTGAATTAATGAGACGAGCCCCTTGTGGAGGAAAAACAGGCTTTCCTCACACTTTTTCGATTCCATTTGAATATCATTAAGGTGTTTTGCCTCCATGTCTTTTACGAGAGTTGTTGCGAAGCAAAAGCACAAGTTCTCGGTGTGCTTTTCACACGATCACAGTGTGAATGGCAATGAATCAGTCGGAGATGCACTGAAGTGAACTTTATTCACACGCTCAAAAAGCTGTCGTTTCACTGCGACTTAGCAGCGGATCTTGGCGCACTTTCTTCCTCAAGAATGTGGCCAGAAGTCGCTGGTCGTGAACTTCACCGCCGCCCGTTAGAATGCTGAAGAAGTAGCCAAAACCGATGTTGAAAGACAGCCCGATGAGGGCAAAGTATTGGAAGTTAATCCTAAAAATCCAGGGAATGTTGCTTCTTTGGTTTACCACAGATGACCGATCGACTGAGCTTTCATTTCTCAAGCAGCCGTCAGTTCGCATTGGTAGAAAAGGATCTGAATGCTTGTACAGATTGTTACCGATCATTAGGATTGCCAGAACGCTGATGGCAATCAAGACTCCGATTTTTGCGCCCTGGAATAAAGTGAGAAGAGTCTTAAAGTACAATTCGACGCAGAAACACTTTATCTATCCTCATGGTTAAAACTTACTTTACAGTTCGCTCGTGGAAAGAGTATTCCAAGGATGAAGAGGCCGAAGATCGCCACACCAGTGATTGTGACGCATTGGAAAGTGAGGGTGAAGATTGTTCCCATGTGTTCGATAGCCAAGATAAGGAGGACGCTTAGAAGTCCCAAAATCACCACCAATAATTTCATAACAGTGTTGATTCGATCTTGGGTTGCGTTCTTGAGTTTCAAGGCTAGAAAATCGTTGTAAATCGTTCCGCTCATTGTGTTCAAATATGTTGAGATTGTCGACAGTCCGGCAGCGAAGATACCAGCTATGAAGATCCCATTGAAGCCGGGAAAGAGTGAGGCTCTCTCCTGGACAAAGTGCGGCAACGTCTGGTCGATCTTCGCGATGAGACCGGCGCTAAAAGGATCGCAGTCTTCATAAGCGGCATACATGATGCTGCCAATTGCCAAGTCGGTCAATATGATGATCATGTACACTCCGAACTGAATCCAGAGACTCTGCTTAGCCTTCTGCAGAGTCGGTAGTGCAGTGTAGCGCTGAATACTGCTCTGACTCAGGCCCATGTGGTAGATCGACGCGAAAATGAGGCTGAAGAGGTAGCCCCAAATAGTTCCTCTCTCTTCCAGATCAAGATCAAGCCTACGAGATGGAAAACTAGGATTAAACCAGGTACTTATTTGATATTATATCCCATTGAGGGACATAGTCTTCTCCATTAAACGAGATATGAAAATATCTTCAAATGATCAGTGAAACCATTGCGAAGGAGTTCTGTGTTTCAGATCTTTCGGGGGTTAAGTAAAAGTGGTACAAGTGATCATACTTGACAAATACGAGTCTTCCGCCTCGGTCAAGGGCTTCCCATACGTTTCTCATGCCACCCACGTTGTTGAAGCCCACGATCATGATCACAATGGAGGAAGTGAGGATGAGAACAAGCTGAAACACGTCAGTCCAGACGACAGCCTTTATTCCACCGATCGCAGTGTAGACAATACAGAGAACAGTGATTGTCGCCGCAATTACGTACAGATTGAGTCCGGACACTCTTTGAAATGCCAAAGCGGGCACATAGATAACGATAGGCATGAAAATTATTCCCGCCACGAGATACATCGCGCTCGCAATCTTCTTCACCGTGCGATCGAAGCGCTGCTCCAAGTACGAGAAGCTCGACAAGAGCTGCAGTTCGTAGAAAACGGGTAGGAAAATGTACTGAATGACGACCAAGCGAATCATAGCAATGACTATGAACATCCACATGGTGAGACCGTAGGCGTAGGTCTCTGTGATGTGGCCTACAACCGTGGCGCCGGAAACTGCAGTGGCAACTAGGGAGAAGCTCACTGGTACGAGTTTCATGTTACGTCCGCCCAAGAGGTAGTCCTCAATGTTGGACCCGCGCTTTCTGGCCAGGATGGCATAGTGAATGCCAATAGACAGGGACACGATGAACACAATCGCGAAACAGAAGTAATCCAGGACGGAGAATTGAACGACAGCGCTCGCGATCATCGTGATCAGTCATGTGAGAACGTTAGAAAGGTACTGACCTGAGGCCTCAGAAAGTGACTTCATTGAGAGTTATTAGAGAGGAAGTCCCAGTTTTTCTAGATACTCTCCAAGCGTCAATTAAAATTATATTATCACGGGGAAGAAATGTTGATAGGACTTTTTGATGAAATCACTCATTTTGATGACGCAATGCAGAGAAAAACTGATAGAAATGTTAAAGTGAGAGTAATCTATTCAATTCGACGCTTATTTTCTTCACATTAGAAAAAAAAGACATAAAAAGATAAACAGAATGTTGAAGAAATCATAATATTGAATATCTTTTCATCTGAGACACAAACCCAAGATATCAAGATTTCAAGAAGGAAATTTTCGTGTCTGCAATTCGCCATCGATTTCCTTCAATCTTCTAAAGCTTTTATATTGATATTTCCGTAATGGGTTAAGAAACTCCCAAGAAATGTTGAAAAGAGTCAAAAAGACACGATTTTTTTTTAGTTTGTTCATCTCACATCTATTCATAGCTTCATCTTCAATCATTTATCAAATAGTTTTACAATATATTTATGAATAAATTTATCTCTCTTTCTCTGACAACATTTTCGGGAATTGTGCAAAATGATGACTTTTCCACATTTTCACACTGCCCAAAAAATCACTGATATCAAGATTTAAAAAGAAATGCATCGCTCATGTTTTCTGTCGGGGCGCAAAAGAGACAATTAATAATGCTTTTTAATAATTTATAGTAGAAATGATTCGCGATGCGAGGCTATTTTCTCGACTGCAGCGCCGTCGAGAGCCAATCCATGGCAGGATCTAGGCCTTCGCCCTTCTTCGCGGACGTCTTGAATATCTGCAAGACAAGGGAAGATTGTCAATTGGGGCGCTCAGGAGGGGGACGGCCGAAGAGGGCTCTCACTTGGAAAGTGCGGTTCTTGAGTGCGTCTAAGCCTAGCGCCTGGTGGACTTCCGCCACGCTCATGCAGCCGTCCATGTCCTGTTTGTTGGCCAGCACCACCAGAATGGCGCCCGCCAGTTCCTCCTCGCGCAGCATGTACAGCAGCTCGTCCTTTGAGATGCCTATCCTGTCCCTGTCCGCCGAATCTACCACGTAGATGATGGCGTCTGTGTTGCTGTAGTAGCATCGCCAGTACGGCCTGCAAGGCACACACAAGGAGTCAGAGAGCCTCAGTCTCACCCCCGCAGCCCGTGCTCACCTGATACTCGTCTGGCCGCCGAGATCCCAGACCTGGAACTTGAGGTTCTTGTATGTGACCTGCTCTACGTTAAAGCCTATTGTTGGAATTGTCGTGACCACCTCGCCCACCTGCAGTCGGTACAGGATTGTGGTCTTGCCGGCGCCGTCCAGGCCCAGGATCAGGATGCGCATCTCCCTGGAGCCCAGCAGGCCGCGGAAGTAGCTGAGGAGGCCGCCTGCAAAGGGATGAAAACACCCACAATCACTCATGGCGACACCGTGTCCACCTCCAACTCACCCATTGTACTGTGGTCACCACGATATTGCTGCTCCCAGGCACGGGCAGAGATCACAATGTGTCGCTCGAGGAAGCTTCCGGTGCCCCAAAGCTCGTCCTGACTCGCTCTTTTCCACTGTTTCCTGGCGGAGGAAGAAAATTTGTTCCGTGACAGCTGCTTTGACACGACATCGGTGAAACACGGCACATGTCATCGCCGAAGCCAGCCAAATGTTCCACGCTGTCGATATTATCGATATATCGCGATGGCGTGGCGGGAAATCGCGAGAAGACTGGACTGAACTATCTAGGAACTATCTATGGAAGAGTTGCAGAAAAAATCATGGGACGTTGGAAAGGGGGAGTCCAGAGGAAGATATTGGCACCACCCAGAAGTCCCGGAAATTTCTCAGTTCGGGCTGGAGCGAGGTCATGGGGATATATTCCTTTGGCCAGAAAGAATTTTTCAGTTGGAAGTCCTGCACGGAATAACACAAAAGAGAATTGAAAGAGGATCTGTGTTGTTCTGGAGTATGTATTTGGCCAAGAAAATAGGTTTTCCTGCCTCTTCCGGGCTTTTTTCACTATGTTTCATTCATGTTTCATGTGTGTTTCACGTATTTGACAGTCGGATATGTTTTCTTTCAGTGTAGTTCGAAAAATGTGGAATGTCGAAAAGTACCTTCAATTTGCTTGTCATTGGCGAAAATCCACTTCTGCCGGCAGAAATAGTGCGAAAAATCGCGGAGAGAGCCCTCAAGTTGTGCGAACGGCGTGTCAGGGCTGACGAGGAACCCCATCCAGAGGTGACACAGTGGAAAGCAGGGCGATGGAGGCGAACGGGAAGGTGCCAGGCAAGTCACAGGCGCGCCAGAAGAGACGGAAGGAGCGCAGCAAGGCAGAGGCGGCCACTCCCGAGGAGGTGAATGCCAAAGAGGAGGCGGCGCCCGTGGAGGAGGTGGCGGAGTCCGAGCAGACCACCAACGAGGATGTGCTGAGCAATGTGCGCGGCCTGGTGGAGCAGCTCAAGGTGGGCTCCAAGTATCTCATGCGAACGCCCAGAACGCCGGACGAGGCCAAGCAGCGCTCCTTCAAGTTCTGGTCAACACAGCCGGTGCCCAAGCTGGACGAGACCATCAGCACGAATGAGCCCATCGACGCGGCGCGCGACGTCGACGCCATCCGGCAGGAGCCGTACTCGCTGCCGGACGGCTTCAAGTGGGACACGCTGGAGATCGCGCAGGCGGCCGTGCTGCAGGAGCTGTACACGCTGCTGAATGAGAACTACGTGGAGGATGAGGATGCCATGTTCCGCTTCGACTACCAGCCGGACTTCCTCAAGTGGGCGCTCCAGCCGCCCGGATGGCGTCTCGATTGGCACGTGGGCGTGCGCGTGGTGAAGTCCGGCCGCCTGGTGGGCTTCATCTCCGCCATTCCCGGCCAGGTGCGCATCTACGACAAGACGGAGAGCGTGGTGGAGATCAACTTCCTGTGCGTGCACAAGAAGCTGCGCGCCAAGCGTGTGGCGCCGGTGCTAATTCGCGAGATCACGCGCCGCGTGAACCTCACGGGCATCTTTCAGGCTGTGTACACGGCTGGTGTGGTGCTGCCCAAGCCCATCTCCACGTGTCGCTACTGGCATCGCTCCCTCAATCCCCGGAAACTCATCGAGGTCAGTGATCCCGCCGCTTTTGTCTCTTTTTGCTCCCTTTTTTGCACGTCTCGCGTACACCATGCCAAAGTGCTGCAGCAATTTCAGGCAGCATTTGCTCTCCCTCTTTCTGCCCTTGTCCATTGGATAGCAAGGACTTCAGTAGAGATGATTGTACAGATTTCAGTCTATCATCTTCCGCTTGGACTGTCTTTGATGTGACACTTCGTGATGGATTGCGCGAAATGGTGCATTTTCTTTTTTTTATTGACTTTTTCCTGCACAATTTCCTTCGCAATATTGAATGGTTAAAAGGGGCAATTTCCCATGTGAAAATTAACTGCTGAAATGACCTAAAATCCAATTGAATTTCTCACCAATTCACACCTTTTCACGCCCATTTGCAGGTGAACTTCTCCCACTTGACGCGCAATATGACGATGCAGCGAACGGTGAAACTGTACAAACTGCCTGACACAACGAAGACGCCCGGCTTCCGGAAGCTCACGCCGGCGGACATCCCGGCGGCGCACAAGCTGCTGGCGTCGTACCTGAGGAAGTTCCACTTGACGCCCGTGTTCACGGAGGAGGAGTTTCGCCACTGGATCACGCCGCGCGACGGCATCGTGGACAGCTTCGTGGTGGTGAGCAGCGATGGTGAGATCACGGATCTCGTGAGCTACTACACGCTGCCGTCCACGGTGATGCATCACGCGGTGCACAAGTGCGTGAAGGCCGCCTACTCGTTCTACAACGTGTCGACGGTGACACCGTGGCCACAGTTGATCCAGGACGCCCTGATTTCGGCCAAGAGCCTCAACTTTGACGTGTTCAATGCGCTGGATCTGATGGAGAACAGAAAGTTCCTGCAGGAGCTGAAGTTTGGCATTGGCGATGGCAATTTGCAGTACTATCTGTACAACTGGCGCTGCCCCAGCATGAATCCCGACGACATTGGTCTGATCCTGCTCTGAGCAGACACACACGCGCGCGCGCTCCCCATCTTCACGCCCCGCTCCCTCTTTCCTGGCGTCTTTGCACTCTCTTCTTTGGCGCAAATATCAAAGTCTGCGGTTGGGGATGTGCGGAGGAGCATTCTTGTAGCATTTTGTCGTGGCATGAAATTCACTTGGCGTGATGAAGTGCGATGGAGAGAAACTATTTCTGTGTAAAATAGGTTGACTTACGAGGAATAAAGAGAATTTAGAAAGTGAATTCGTGCTCTTATTTGCCACGATTGTCCCTCTGTCGGCTGAAATAAGACATTCAGGATCATTTGTACGCCATTTTGAACATTTCCAAAAAAGAATTTTCTCATTTTCTCAGCCCCTTTGGCATGGATCAGACTTAAATTTTTGGTATATTATAGCTGGCATTATGACCTATCCAACGAACCATCGCGTAAGGATCTAGGTCCATCCACACCCTAGATTTTGAGGTCCAAATTTTGAAACCTTTAATGACCATAACTTCACTTCTAATTAACCGATTTGAATAATTTAAAGCTCATTGGAAAGGTTTCGTAAAATGCAATCTCTCACCTAAACATTATTACTTGATATAACCACCGCTAGGGGCGCTAGAGTCGTAAAATTATTTTCAAAACTTTAAAATCAAATTACTCGAAAACGAAACCATGCATTTTCTTTAAATTTTAGTATGTTGTAGTTGTTTTACTGGTCAAAATCTGTTTTAAATCTATCACATGACCTAGAAAAAGCTATAAAATCGATTTTTCAAAGAAAAATAAGTTAGAAAATGACTCAAATGTCTTCGTTTAAAAGCTGTCCACCACTTTTGATCGCATTATCTGCCCCTTGTGAAATCCCAATGTCTGATTGTCGATGTGATATTGGCTGATGCATCCGACGCTGTCTTGTCATTTGTCCTGATTGTCAGTGGAAGAACTCTTTCGTATTTGCGGCGTATTCTGATAGTTTTCCCAAAACGAAAATTGTGTCTTCGCAGCCAAAGTGACCAAATGAATGCAAAGTCTTCATTTACAGGTGAGAGAATAGAAGATTTTCCACGCATGTTGCAAATTATTCACGGTGTTTTGGCCGTCTTTTGCCCACAGGAGAGTACAATTATCCGCAGTATAATGCCAACTTTAGGATTCCACTGAAGATTGAGGAGTCCGCAGAAATTGCGCCCTTTTCCAGCGTGCTGGATAACATCTTCGAGCAACAGAACACACCTGAGCGCTTCCAGAAGTTGACAGTCGCAAGTCTCCAGCGTCCGGCGAAGAGGAAGAATGACGAGGCTCCGGTTGGGATGGAAGTGGACGCGGATGATGGACAGGAGGAGAGTGTTAAGAGGCGTCGAATGGCAAACGCATTGATTGAGAGTGAGAAGCGCTGACAATATTGCTGACTTTCCCTCTGATTCACCCTCTCGATCTGCTGTCTGTCCTTCTTCCAGTGCTCGGGGAGGATTTTCCTGCGGAGCTGAAGGCGCTGATGAAGCCACTGTGTTGCGATCTGTGCAGCGTGAAGCTGAATTCTGTGTCCACGGCAAACATGCACTATGAATCGAAGAATCACGAGAAGAAGATCAACAATTGGCTGCTGGAGTGGTCGAAGAAGACTGGCCAGCCGGTGAGGCAGCGCCAGAAGGCCAACAAGGAGGGTCCCGTGGGCCCCAATGCCTTCCACTGTGACGTCTGCGACATCCCACTGACATCCTTGCAGCACGCCCGGACACACTACACGGGCCGCAAGCACAATCTCGCCGCCTCGGGCCGCGGACAGCCGTCAGGCGCCGGCTTCTACAACACAGATGGCAAGTGGGTGAGGCAGATGACAAAGCCCAGCCAGGATCCTTCGGGCCGTTTCGGCATCGGCGAGGCATTCGTGAAGCCACCGCCGGTCGCCAGCTCTAGTCAGGGCAGCTTCTGCAGTCTCTGCAGCATCTCAGTGTCGTCGGAGTCACAGATGAAGATCCACTTGGAGGGCGCGAAGCACAGCAAGCGCCTCAAGGCCTCCACAGCCGCCACCATCCCGCCCAGCGACAACGACACCGTGATGGAGAGCGTGATCCAGCAGCTGCCCAACAGTATTCCGCCAAAGAGGGACATCTCCATCAACCGGACGCCGTCCGGGAACTACTACTGCGCCTCCTGCGATGTCACCGTGAACAACGAGCACCTCTTCAACCAGCACCTCAACAGCAAGAGGCACATGAAGAAGCTGAAGATGTCCCAAGCATAGATTCTCTGTTCCAAACACACATTCTGAACGGATGAAGAATAGATGTTTACTGCCCTCTAACACACTTTTTCTCCACTTTCTGATGCAGCCGACGAACGGTTGGCAGCCTTGCTTTCCGGACCAAAACAGCTGTTGTATTATTGTTTGACACCACGTGGTGTTCCGCTTTTCTCTCAATTTCCCCGACATTTTCCACTCGACACGCGAGATGGGCAAGGTGAAGAAGGAGACAGAGGTGCAGGAGAACGCGGAGGAGGTGGTGATCAAGAAGGAGGACGCGGAGAGTTATGAGGAGAAGCTGGCTTATGTGACGCCAATTGCCAAGCCCATGGCGTCGAAGAAGCTGGCCAAGAAGTGCTTCAAACTCATCAAGAAGGCCACCAAACAGAAGACTTACCTGCGAAATGGACTGAAGGATGTGCAGAAGCGCATCCGGAAGGGTGAAACTGGGTGAGAAAAAGTCAAACAATGAGTTTCTTTAGTGGCACTTTTCTTAAATGTTTTCTTCTTTCCAGTCTGGTTGTCTTTGCCGGGGATGTGCGTCCTGTGGACATGATTTGTCACTTGCCGGCTGTGTGCGAGGAGAAGAGCATCCCGTACGTTTATGTGCCCAGCCGGGCGGATTTGGGACAGGCGTTGGGTGTCAAGAGAGCCTCCGTGACGGTGCTGGTCAGGGAACATCCGGAGTATAAGGAGCTCTTCGATGAGTGCTCAACAGAGGTGACACATCTTCCTGTGCCGTCGTAAGACGCATTGGGCTTTATAAATAAAAGAATTCTTTGAGAAAATAATGCCGGCTTTTCGGAAGTTTCGGACAAATTGCGCGCCTTGGGCTTTGTTGACACTTTTTGTCCTGTTTGTCAAAAGAAGCGAATTTTGTGCAGCCAAATTTTCTCCTGGGAGAAAAAAAGACGCCAAAGCAGAGGAAGAATTATCATGATTCTCTGAATCTCACTTAAGCGCAGAGTGATTTCAGTCTCAAGCCATGAATATCATGGGTGTTATTGTGTCCGGGCGATTGGTGAGTTTCACACACATAAAATGCCCAAGATTTATAGGTTATGTTGTTGAATCTCTTCCGCCACAGCCACAGACGGACTTTCAGCAAGTGGGCGAATCGCAGTTCCTCTTCAACATCTCCGATGCCGACAATATCAATCACATCGTGGTGTTCCTCACGGGCGCCGTGGCGCTCCCGGAAGGCATGGCCGGCGCTGTGTACTTCAGCTGGCCGGATCCCAATGCGCCGCCCAATTGGCAGTACTTGGGCTACATCAGCAACACAAAGCCCTCGTGCATCTTCAGGATATCGCAGCTGAAGAAGCTGAATGAGATGCAGGACAATCCGACCAGCAACGTGTTTGGCGCGCAGCCAATTTCTCACATCGCCCAGATTGGCGTCTCCGTGGAGCTGGAGGCCAGCGTTGTCCAGCAGACGCCGTCCGTGGTGAGTTCCACAGCACGCCCAAAGACCTCGGGAGTATTGATCTGATTCTGTTTTGCAAAAAAAAAAATCAAGACGAGCGTCACGAATTACCTGCAATTTGGGCAGAAGATGCTGGAGAACTTCTTCAATTACGCCTCGAGCTTCGCCGTGACGCACTCAGCGGAGACCTTCGTGCCCCTCTCCACCCTCCAGACATGGTACACGAACTTCCAGCGACGCCTGCAGCAGAATCCCAACTTCTGGAAGTCATAAAATTGCTTTAAATAATAACATGCGTGAAGAATTGCTGGGATTTGCTCTCTTTATTCCTTCTTTTCTTCCTTCCATTTCGCTGACATGCAAATTCCGCATCATAAATTTGTTGGTATACAAAGTTTTCTTGAATACTTCTTTGTGTCCTTTTTTGTCATATTGAAAAGGTGGAGTAAAAAGTAATACAATTAATACTAATTTACGCGAGATTAAACATTAATTTACATACTATTAATAATATCACACCGACTTCGAGCAATTTTCTCTTTTGCCTTTTGAATTCTTCAAAAAATTCACAATTATTTTTCTTACTTCCTTTTTTCTTTTGGTATATATCTTTATCTGCCACCCCAAAAAAAAAATAATGCCACACAACATTGAGAGTGAGAATGGGGAATAAAAAGAAAAGCTCGCGCGCCTCTTTCCACGGCCACTTTTAGGCCACAAAAACACACACACAAACACACAATTCCGGGACGCGAATCAGCAGAAAAGTGTGCAGACACGATAAACACGATTCCTTGATTTTGGTTATGAAAGGGGATTTTTTAAGAAACATTCTCACTATTTGTAATATAAATTCGATCATTTGTAGAAATAGAGAAATTAGAATTCTTTGGCAGTTCACGCCTGTCTTAGAGACTTTTATGACGGCGGCTGAGCGCTTCCGTCGTACGCTTTGTCCGGTGGGAACTTAATGAAGGGCGGATGGCGCTCGTGGACGCGCTGCAGACTGGGATTCGGTATTGTGGGCCACAAGCCGAACGGTCCGATGTTCTGCAGAATTTGCTGAAAGAGCCAAAACACATCCGTCAGTATTCCCACTAAAACTGAGGAATGTTAAAGATATGTGTTAGAGTTCAAGCAATCTTTGCTATTCTGAGTCACACACGAAGACTTTTCAGTGAAGTCGCAGTGATTTTTGGCAAATTTCTCTCCTTTGAGCTTGGTTTTAGCGCGAATTCCAAGGGCTGTTTTGACTCATCCGTATCTCTGGACGCTTGACACAGGCTGAGCTTGAGCGGGAATTGGGCGTCGCGACACTCACCGACGTGTGGGGCTCCTCGATGAAGGGCGGCGGCTGCGTGACGTGGTGGATGGGCGGCGCGAACTGCGGGCGAGTGGCTGGGCGGCAGGACAGCAGCTGGATGGCCTCCGCCAGGCCGTCCTGGCTCGTCAGCGACGACTGCCACACGGAGTCGGGCGTGGTGCTCTGGCTCCGGTCGCTGCCGGACTTGGACGAGATCGGCACGGCGGCCAGCTTGGACACGGGCATGAGGCGCGTCTGGTGCCAGGACACCGTGCTGCGGTCGCTCTTGGACGCCTCCCAGGGCATCGACCAGCGCCGCATCTGGCTCTCGGCGTCCAGGCTCGCCTCGGCGCTCACCTCGCCGGCCGCGGCCTCGCTCCAGCGCCGCTGGTTCAGCGGGAAGAGCATGGGGAAGTTGAGCGGGCTGCGCGAGCCGCGGTAGAAGGGCGCCTTCATGCCCAGCAGGTGGCCGGGATTGGGCAGCGGGCCGCGGATGGTCTCGAGGAAGCCCTGGACGGGACTGGGGCCGCGGATATCGTGGTGCGGCGACGGGCCGCGCGTCTGCTCGAGGGCGGTGCCCGTGAGCGAGCAGCTGTGGTCGCTGGAGCTCTGCGTGGAGCCGGAGCCGAAGAGCAGCGCCCTGCCCTCGATGGGCATGCGGAACATCTCCTGCCGGCCGCCGCCGCCGGGCTCGCGGAAGTGCGGCGACGGTGTCTGCGAGCGCGGGTCGGCGGTGTGCTGCAGCTTGGTGTACGGCGGCTGCGGCTGCAGCAGGGCGCAGTCCGGATCGTGGGCGCCGCCCACGGGCGCCTGGCACACGAAGCAGCACATCAGGTGCGAGAAGGAGTCGTAGCTGGCCACGCAGAACTGGTGCTGCAGATTGATCATCGTCTGGGCGTTCTCCATCACCACGTGCTGGTTGTGCTCCTTCACGCGCAGCATCTCGCCCTCCTGGTGCTCCGCGAACGCGCCCAGCGGCTGCGTGACGTAGTCCTGCAGCACCGTGACGATGTGCGACTTCACGGTGCTCGTGGCCACCACAGTGGCTCTGGCCAGGTCGTCCCAGGCGCTGGTGAACTGGCTGGCGGCGAGATGCGGCGCCGGCGCCTGCTGGTCGGCGTTGATCCACTGCTCCAGCGTGGCGATGGTCTGCGCCAGGCGGTGGCCGGAGGAGCACAGGTTGTTCATGATCTGCAGGTAGTTGAGCCAGGCGCCCAGGCACTCGGACACGGCGGACTTGGCGCTGCCCTGCGAACTGCTGCTGCTCGACGGCGAGATCGAGGAGCCGCTACTGTACGACAACGCCGCGCCGGAGCCCAGCGAGCTCCGCGGCGTGATTGTCGTGGGCGGCTGCGAGCACTGCGGCAGATCATCCTGGTCACTCATCTTCGGCGCACGCACTGCCTCACATCTGCACTCTCTTCTCGCTGCGAGAAGTCTCTCTTCCTCTGCCCGCGGAGTCGCAAATCACAGTGGCCAAAATAAACGCGAGCGCCGCGACTGCGAATCGGGAATGTTGACAGATGGCGAAAACACTGCGCAAAAAGGGTTGCGCTCACGAGATTCTGCAATTTCGTGCATATGTTTCAACATTTTTCATCGTGATGGAAATTCTTAATGGCCAGAATTTACATGAAAAGGGAGAATCTGTGAAGGACTTACTGGATACACCGTAAATGTGGCACATCATCGGGAATTTGCAGTGTACTTTGATTGTGTGTTTCCCGGTAAAAACTTCAACGTAGTCAGTTGTTTTGCTTTTTTCACTCTGAGATTTCCTGTTGTTGTTTTTCCTATTTGAGGGTACTTTTCACCCTTCGTGTGTGGAATTAGTGTAGTTTTTCCTTTGATGAAACCCTCAAGAACGCTCCGAGGTTGAAGTGCAGCAGTGAAATTTCACACGAGAAATGGTGAAAGTGGGCAAAGTGTTGATTTGCGGAATGAAAGGCGTTGGGAAGACGGCGATCATTGAGCAGCTAATCTGTGGAAATATCACTCCGGACTCGGTGAGTGCGCAGCTGGATGGGATTGTGAGATTGCTGGCTGAGACATTGACTTCTTGCAGGAACTTCATCCCACCATTGAAGACACTTACGTGGCGAGCATCGACACCGGACGCGGCGCGCGCGATCTGCTGCGCATCTTCGACACTGCCGGGCTGCAGGGGAACATCCAGCTGCCGCGGCAGTACTTCCAGCTGTCGGACGCCTTCGTGCTGGTGTACGATCCCAGCGATCCGGCCAGTCTGGACATCCTGGCGGGCGTGAAGAGTGACATTGAAAAGTGCAAGGACAAGAAGGAGATGATCGTGATCGTCGTGGCCAATATGCACATGCGCGGCCACCGCGGCGGCATGGATCCCGCTGAGGCCATCCTCAATCGGGCGAACATCTGGTGCGCCCGCGAGCGCTTCAAGCACTACGTGGTGAACGCAATGGAGCGAGCCTCGCTCTACGAGCCCTTCATCAGTCTCGCCGCCAGAATTCACGTGCCGCAGACCAAGAGCGCCTTCCCGCAGCTCAGCAAACTCACGCAGAAGAACTCCCTCAACTACTGACCACGCGCGATCCAATCCGACGCGTCCTATGCAACTCTGAAGGGTCGTTGCAACATTGCAGACTTCGCATTTCGATTCGTAAAAGTTACGAATTCGCTATAAACTCAGTGACTGATCTTGACATTCTTGAAGTATTCTGCTGATCAGAATGCTCGGAAAGATGTTTTAGCTGTAATATTTCAGCACAGTCATATTTTCTTGCGCGTGAACACGATATAGAATCAAATGGTGCTTTTAAACACTTTGGGAAGTCAAACAGTTGCCTTGGGAAATATCAAAGGATGTCCGGAAACACATAACCTGTAGAATTTGCGCGAAGAAATAATTTCAGTACAAGCAAAAAATGAATTCTCCACTTTCATAAAAGTTACAAATCGCAATGTTGCATCGAACTTTTACCAATTCACAACTTTGACAGCTTATTTAAAATGCGCTATGAAGGTAAAGTTGCATCGATTGCTTAGAGCTTCACAAAGTGACAAAGGACAGCAAATTTTGGTTGTTAACGCTTTTTCTGAGAGACGAATGAAGAAAAAGAAGAAAAAAATGTATTAAATAGTTTTTAAATTCATTCCTCAACCTTTGAATTTTTCCTCCATGAAAATCCAAAGAAGAGTTGAAATAAATTTATTATTTATACAATTCCAAAGTAAAAAAAAAAGAACAGAATTTTCTTCTATCTCCACCGAAGGATATACTGAAGACTTCTGAGTAGGATTTTCGTGCCGAAAACATCATCCCACATCGATGAACTTATGCCGAAACCTGAAATGGATCATATTTTTGGCTTTACTGTTTTCGTGAACGATTTGTTGTGCTTCACAAGTCAACGTGATTTTGCTATTCTTAGAACATTTTATTCCCCAATTGGCGTCTGAGGAATTTCTATTGTTCATTGCCATTCTCTTAAGTTAAGAGATTAACCTGAATTTCTTATATTTTGCATGTTTTTAGTAAATTCCAAGTAATTTCCTAAATTCTTTTCCGATCGTGAACATGGAAAAAATTGCTTGTTCACGATGAGTTCACAAAATTCTCTTTCAAACGATCATCAAAAAGAAACAGAAACAGTTCGATTAACAGCTCCACTTGAGAATGATAACGACAGATAAGGTTGCGAATTGCTGCGTTCTGCTCTAGTGCCCCAAATTTAAATTGATAAATTCCCCTCAAATGTGTAATAATTTATTGCGTATCCAATACAATATCAATTGCATAGATAATGCCTGTCATTGACTTCCTGGATTCGCTCACATGCCAAAGAGGCGCTTTCACAGCATTATTCGATTCTTATCAATGACATTGAGAATGGCAATAAAATGTTTTCCAGCGGCAATAATACAAATGCAAAAAGACAGAAGAAAAAAGCCGATGGACATGGAAATGTAGTGTAAAATCCATTGTTGCTGATCGATAAGATTTCGCGTGTGTTGTGCAATCATTTCGCGGATTCTCTTACCTTTATCATGATGAACGAAGTGATGTTGATAGTGGTAGCGCTTCATGAAGTACAAATGACCACCCGATGGACTGCCGTAGTGGAGGTAGAAGTGAATCATGTCGTACACCACGTAGCCTGGGAAGTACACAACAGAGAGACAATTCTTTAAAGATTTCAAGTTGCAAAAGAATCTGTATTTCAACGGGTTTGGCTTTCCTGATAAAATAACATCAATAGAATCTGTGAAATTTCCTTTTTTTCAGTCCTCTTTTCAGATTAATTTATGATTTTTCGCAATATTTCAAACATCTTTGAGCCTTTCAAATTCAATTCCCACCAAAAAAATAGAGCATTTTTAATTTCATCACCAAATTTTTTTTACTTCAAAATCATGTCTTATTTATTTTGAGTCTTTTGGTCGAATTTGGGGGAAATTTGTGGAAAATTGGGTGAGATATTAGCACATATGTGCCGCAAAGGGGGGAAAATAGGCTCCAAGAGGAGAGCCTGGGCGTCTAGGGCGCTCAAGTGAGGCATCTTCGGAAAGCTGATGACCCAAGGAATCTTAAAAAATTAAACCACTTTTCATAAAAAGGGCAGACAAGAGTGTGACTTTGTTCCCTAATGTATGTTGCTGAAGTCTAAGAAGTGATGAAAGAAGAGAAAATGCATTTTTCTCACCTGTGAGACCACCGGCCAGGCCGACGAGTGAGTAGGACTGGAAGAGGAGCAGAATTGGCGGATAGAGAATGGAGACGATGATCATGGCTGGCACGGGCGGGAAGACCAGGCGATATGGGTCGAATGGCACTTTGTGATGCAGTCCGTGGATGAGGAAGTGAAAAGTGGCGAAGTACTTGTTCATCTCCTTCGTGTCCATGTGAAAGACCCAGCGATGCAGCGAATACTCCAGCAGAGTCCACAGCAAGACACCAGTGGCGAAGCACAGAGCAATCTGGACGATCGGTGGCTCAGTGTCGATGATTGTCACATGCTGACTGCCCTTAATGACTAGATAGATGATCACTGGGATCCAGAATGTGGGCACAATGAACCACGGCGTCTTCGTGCACATCTCCAGATACCACGGACCGAAGAGGCGCAGCGGCCGATCGACTGGCTTATTTACCCACTCCACATAATCCCGGCCGAGCTTTCCTATTTGCGGCACCATGGCCGCCGACCAATCCACGAGGTACTGAAAAAGGGAAATCACTTTCAGCCTTATAGATCGCCACCATGATACATTCATAAGATTGCAGCGAGGAAATGAACTGGAAAGTTTTAATTGCACAATATGTGTATCAAGTTCAATATTAATAACAGTTCGTGAACATAAAAGAACAAATTGTATAAGTAACTCAACACAAGGGGGAGATAATGTGGGCAGAAGTGGTGTACAGAATCTGTAGAAGCCTTAGGAAGTGGAAGTGCTTCATTTTTCGCAATTTTTGGCTCACAACTTTGATTTTCCCACAAATCAAACAATCAAATTTTGAGCCAAAAAGATTCTAATTCAGAATAAATGTTGATTGAATTTTAGAAGAAAACCGCCAAAAAAAAGTCTTAATCATAATTATGAAATTGACAGTTAGATTCAAATTGGTGTACAGATTTTAGCCATATTATCTTCCCCTTCATTCACAATGATTCTCGTAAGATAGAAAACGTTTTCCGCCGTAAATCATAATGACTTCTTTTTTAAAATGACGAAAAATAGTGAAGAAGAATTCAAAGCAAAGCAAATAGTTAAATTCTATATATTGATTTAGCAACTTAAAAGTCGCCTTTCTCATTATTTAGCGTGAGCTTTTGTTGAGTGGTTGAATTTGTCATTGCGAAGCTTTTCAAATTCTCATCTTTCTCTACAAACATGTGGATAAAATAAGAGACACTGAATTTATTGAAGGATAAACTTTTTACATAAATCCAACTTGCTGAACTTGTCAACAATTCTGTAATTTGGCCAAATAAAAAGCCAGCGTAAACAACCTCAAAATAAATATTGAAGCAAAAACTTTGCGATGCTGAAAAAAAAAGTCACTAAACGGAAGTAATGCAGTTCGTAAATTTACACACATAGATATATGTTGGTAAAATCATTCTCCGATCTAGTTGATGTTGATTGTTGCTAAAGCAAATAGAGTTGCGATTGTAGCGAGCGTTGCAGCAAAGGTTGACAGTTTGCGCGCACGTCGAATGCCAAGAGTACTTAGTAAATATTAATTAAGAAATAAGCAATGAAGGAATCGTCGATAACCCTTCTGAGTCAGTCTGAAAGACGATTGTCTAATATTCTAGTCACAAAAGTGATTTTTCGGCCAAGCTCGCTAATCGAGGTCTTATTTACTGAACCACTTCGCCGTCTCTGTCTTCGCAATGTTGCGCGCGGTCAAGGGGGAGATAATATGGCCAAAATCTGTACACCACTACAATGATTCGTATGAAGAATCAAAATCAGCGACATTTTCTGCAATTTTGCCGTCAATTTTGATTTTATCCCCTGAAAATTAACTGAAAACTGACTAAAATCTAACTAACAACATTCTTACTACAGCGTGGGCACTAATTATAGCTCCACTGTAGGTATCCAGGGGGTAGGTAGTCTGGGGCAAAAACAAAAAAAACCAAATATGGTGTTTGATTGCTTATCCATAGCCAAAACAAAACCCCCAATATGAGGCCCCTCCGCCAGATCCTAGGGATTCTAGGGAACTTTATCACTTTCTGGCCTGGCACTAATTATAGATCCACTTGGGAAATTTCACTATATCTCAGCGAAAAAAAATCGGAAAATTCTGAAAATCATAAGGATCCTTCATTTTGAGCCCAGAAACCATTTATCGTCGCCATACCCCGCCTCGGTCCTCCGTGGACCCCACTGTTAAAGGTCTTTGCCTAGTACTACATGATCGCCCAATATGGCTCCTCCGCATTGGGGCGGGGGGCGCAATGGCCATAAACTGCTTCACAGAGCTTGATTGAAGCCTTTTGAGCATAATTGGGATTTCTGACCCCGATACCCTTCCTGAATCCTGGCCTTAAGCACTTCTTCCGAGGCTTTCTTCTGCTTCTTTGGACCCAAACCACCCCAACCCCCGGGCCACCCCCAATGAAATGGGGCGAAAAGTTCTTAGGACACTTCTAGGAAACCCGTGGACCTTAGATCCGGGGATGGGTAGCGCCTGGGAGGGAGCGCCACACCGTGGAATGAGACCCAGTCGAAAACCACCTAAAATTGTATGGTTTTTCATTGAATTTCAACTGGCTCTCGTTCTACGTTAGGGCGCTCCCTCCGAGGCGCTACCCATCCCCGGATCTAAGGTCCACGGGTTTCCTAGAAGTGTCCTAAGAACTTTTCGCCCCATTTCATTGGGGGTGGCCCGGGGGTTGGGGTGGTTTGGGTCCAAAGAAGCAGAAAAAGACCCTGGAAGAAGTGCTTAAGGCCAGGATTCAAGGATGGAATCGGGGTCAGATAGCCCAATTATACTCAAAAGGCTTCAGTCTTGCCCTATGAAGCAGTTTATGGGCATTGGGCCCCCCGCCCCATTGCGGAGGAGCCATTTTGGAATATCGTGTTATGCAAGGCAAAGACCTTTAACAGTGGGGTCCACGGAGGACCGAGGCGGGGTATGGCGACGATAAATGGTTTCTGGGCTCAAAATGAAGGATCCTTATGATTTTCAGAATTTTCCGATTTTTTTTCGCTGAGATATAGTGAAATTTCCCAAGTGGATCTATAATTAGTGCCAGGCCAGAAAGTGATAAAGTTCCCTAGAATCCCTAGGATCTGGCGGAGGGGCCTCATATTGGGGGTTTTGTTTTGGCTATGGATAAGCAATCAAACACCATATTTGGTTTTTTTTGTTTTTGCCCCAGACTACCTACACCCTGGATACCTACAGTGGAGCTATAATTAGTGCCCACGCTGTAGATTTTTTTTAGACATTATTCTAAAATTTTTCCACTCTAATTGTAATTTTTGTGTCTTTTATTATTCATTATAGAAAGAAAGAGTGTAGAAAGAAAAATATCGAGTTTTTCTACTTTTACATGTTATTTAGTCTTTCAAAAAGTCACATAACCTAGAAAAATAGAATCATAATTAAGACTTTAATTACCAATTTAGAGATAAGTTTATAGAAATAATTTCAGAATATTTTCAAAATCAACCTAAAATATCCCTAATAAATAATAATAGAGAACAAATCTCGGTTTTTCTCGCGAGGCGCTTAATGTCAATGATGTAAGAAATCCAAAGTAGCAAACTGAATAATACAATCTATCCAATACTTGTGACTAAGCTGTACACCACTTTTCACCACATTGTCTCCCCCTTGGGCGTGTGCGGTGTGTTTGCGGAAGAAAATTGAAAGTGTGATGCAAAAGCACGTATTTACCTCCATGCTATCGTCTAATGCGGCATGAAGATCGCCATTATTGTTGGCTTCTTTGCCGCGATGGTGATAATTGTGTCCATTGAGGTGAATTCCGTTGGCTGTGTGGCCGTTTCGCTCCATCTTCGGCGCGCCGGTCACTCGGTACTCCTTCATGAGGTACTTGGCGGCCGCCGAGTGCGGCGGCATCGTGGCGAAGCGCTGCGTGATGTCGGCATTCTGGCCAAGGCCGCCCAGCGTCCCAATTCCGCCGGGATGCTTGTGGGCGAACTCACTGATGTCGTACAACTCATTGCGATACTTAATGATCAGAGGTCCTTCCGATGCCATCCTTGGCGGCGCACACTTCTCAACACCCTTGCACAGAACAATCGCGCGACAATTTGAAAATAATCCAACAGCAAATTCACTTCGCAATTTTGCACATTTCACCGAACTTCCGAGTACGGATTGTCGCACGCATTAAAATCTCTTCACGTACAGAGCTTGATTTTTGGCCTGATGGACGTTATGAATTATTGGGTTGAAGACACGATAATCAATATTACTTTAGCGAAAGTTCACTTGTTTTCACACGACTACTGTGTGTGTTTTTCCTTCTTTTCATTCACAGAACACTATTAGAAAAAACTCCGACATTTATTTTATGTTCTTTGGCATTATTTTTCCACCAACAGCGACAAGTTCGGCGGTTTGCAAGTGACTGAGGAACACATGGAGTAGTGCGTTGAGTACAATTGCCAAGGTGTGATGTTGATAAAACGACTGTGACCGATGCATGGGGAGCTTTTTTTATACCCAAGCCCACATAAATAAACACAGACAGAGAGATACAGAAGATACACACTTGAGTGGGTTGATTAGGGGTGATTTTAGAAGGCAATTCTTGTCACAGTGCGTAAAGAAATTCCGCCAAAAGTGTCCATCTTGAGCCAATCTGCCAAATGACCATCGAGACCGCAGAAAGAATTAGCATTCTTCAGACACACATTCAATACAATTGTTCAACACCTTATCAATGGTTATGTAATTGTAATCTCCACACTGGATTTGGTGCGAAAGAGATGGCAAAGAGTGCGCAATGAGTGCCTTAGTCATCGTCTGCGCCCCGGAAAAATTGGCTGATAAGGCCAAAATACATGCACAAGACCTTCTTTTCGGCTTTCGACACTATTTGTGTGATAAGATTACAACTTTACTATGTCGTGAATTCTTTTCACATGTAAGTTTTTCACCCGAGTTGCTCGATGGGTGGCGAATTGGCAGAAATTCTTGTGATTTTCCGCGTAGATTTGGAGTGAATGACTTGGCGTGAAAGTGTAAAAGAACTTCTCACGTGTCTTTCTCTGCCTTTGATATCGATGCTAATGATTTTATGGATATTATTATTCATGAATAACATATAAATATTTGACTTTCAATACAAGACTGTGTTTCTCCGCAATTGCATCATTACATTCATGCAAATTTACTGATAAACTGATTGTATTTGCACTGTAATCAACTGGTGAGCAACGCATTTATTTGCCCCTTAAACGATGTGCGAATGTTTGGATCAATTTCCACTAAAATTGCGCTATGTTAAAGATGTGTTAGAGAGTAGTTAAAACAATGTTTGCTATTCTAATGACCAGAAAAATCCAATAAATATGTCTTTATCTACTTAAAGACATCATTATTGTCTATTTCTTTGATTTTCACGTGAATTTTCAGGCATTTTTCATTTCTCATTCACTCGGATTGCTAGATGTTCAAATCTTTAAACGCTTAACACACCTCAGTTTGAGTGGGAATTGATCCAATCGTCGAACTCTGCCTGTGTTTGTGTGTCAACGAAGGGCTTTCCAATCTCACTCACTATATCTAATCTTCGATGGGTGAAAAATTGTAAAGATATAAATATGTTTTATGGTTTTCCCGCTCAATGTGTGCTTCACACCCACGAAGAGCAAATAGTCCACGAAAGATATTCAATTTCCCGCCGATATCCGCGGCGATAATCCTCTGCTGGCCCATCAGCAGTATATATGAGTAATTTTGTGAAAAGTCCCTCCGTCTTATCACTCGCGAATGAAGGTGAATTTTTGTGATGAATCAGCGGTGGGAATTTCTTAGTGTAATAAAATTTTGGTACTTTTGTGGCACTTGAAAAATGGTGAGTAAGTCAGAAATGGTTGATAAGATTCAAATAATATTGTTGATTATCAGTCGATTGATTAATTAATAATTTAGAAGAATTTATACTCTATCTCTAAGGCGTCAATCTAGTGTATTTAAATGTGCACAAATGGCCAGAAAAAATCAATTTCACATAAAATCATGTGTATTTTCTTGGGTTTTCACTTTTCACGTGAATTTTCCGGTTCTTCTTGTCTTCACGCGACAAAATATATAAATTGGCTCACATTAGTAAATAATATCAATTGTAATCTTGCAACGCCTTTTTACAAATTCATATTTTTGACAGCTTATTTAATATTGCACTATGAAAGTAAAGTTGCAACGACGCCTTGACCTTCTGTAAAATCACTGATAAGACGAAGAAGTCAAATGTAATTCAGCTGATGATGCAGTTAAACAATGAGTCACTTGAGGTCTTAAACTTCTTAGAATCCTCCTGCATTTCCCATGAAGTTCAATTAGCGTCAAATGGAGAGTAATAAAATGCATGTGGATTTTGTGGTTGTCTTGCTCTGACTTCATGTCAATATATTTTTATTTATTTACACAATATCTTCAACAATCTCTACAATGGCATCTTTTTTCCCCCATCAGCTCCACCGAAATTTCCATTAGATTTTTCTCTCTGTGACTTTGTCTAAAAATAGATTTAGCAATTGAAGTACATCCAATTGCATCATCGCAGCTTCTCTATTCCATCTTTTTTTACTTATTATTTCTCGCTGTTTTTCCTCCTTTGTATTTTTCCTTTTTGTCTTAAGTAATTTTGCAAAATGTTCTTTTTACACGTTTTTCTTCTTTTACTGATTTCCTTAGTTAAGGTATTCATATGAATTTTCTCACAGCATTTTAATATTATTACCTCACTAAATATGCATTCTAATTTTTTTTTTAAATCTAATTATTCATTCGAAATGTCAAACATAATTATGTGTTGTGATTTTTTTCTTTCAATTTCAAATTTCATCACTTCTCCTTAAATATTTCTATTTTTTTTGTTGTTTCATCAATAAACCAAAATCTCTCTCTCTTCTTGTGCTATTTGGAAAAATTAAAACTACACTAAAAATGCAACAAGTCTGAAATGTTTTTCTCTACACAAACTGTTCTATTTTTCTCTTAACATGACAAACAGACAAAGTTAAATTAATTTTTCTTGTAGTTCTGTAAAATCTAAAATTAAACACAATTAATTTTTCTGTGTATTTCAATTGACTTTGTTTACTTTTGATGGTGTGAATTTTTTCTGGTGATTCAATTGAATCAATTAAATGATATTTCTTTTTTTCTGATTTTATATTTTTACCAATAAATAAATGATATAAATATTAATTTATACTATAATTTGGCTTTCATCGCAAGATAAGGGTTGATTCACAAGATTTTACGTCTTTCATTTGGCGACACTTCTTGTGATTCAAGCATTAAATTAAAAAAAAAATATGTGAATTGTTTATGAATTTCCATCTTTCGATATTTTCTTTTTAGTTTATGATTTCTCTTTCCTCTCTACAAATTCTTTTACTACGCTTTGAGACTAATCGCAAGCTCAACGTAAGAATTGCATAAATTTCATTGACTCTGAGTCTTTATTTCTTCACTAAAAGTAACTGTGGTAATTTTTTTTATCTCCTTTCTCTAAATGTTATCGCACGATCCAAGAAAGTTACTTTTGCCATCAATCGCTGCACGTTAGAACTTCTTAAGTGGTAGATTTTATTAATATGTATAAGTTGTTTATTCCTTTTTTGTTTTAAGTCTAATAATACTTAGCCGAGGTACGTTAAGTATTTTTTCTTCTTCTTCTCTATACCAAAACTCTCTAAATGTTAATTTTCACCTGTGCAACTTGATAAGTTCTTTGTGTTTATTTTAAGATTTCCAATTTGTTCACCTGTTTTGCATCTCTTTCACATCATGTCCTGTGGCGGTTAGAGCAATTTTAGCAATTGGACAGAAAGAAGCCTTGATTTGTAGTGAATATTTTTCCCTTGGATTTTGCTCTTTCTGTTTTTCGGGCCAATCTTATTGTGCTCTTCACAATGCAAATGCAAAGAATAGACGCAAATCTTCTCTAAATGATTGGGGAAATTCTTTTTGAAGAATGAACTTTATAATAATTTCTGAGCAATAATATCACACGTACTTTAGCTGAAATTTCCTCCTCAATCGCTCTCAGGGTTACACCCTCACTTATTTGGAAGTCAAGAACTCAAGATTTCCCCGCTCGCGACTATCATTTAACAACTACTGCATAAATTCAAAATAAATAAATGTTTACAACTTTGGATTTAGCAAATATGATTTCTTTGGATTAAATTCATAATTTTCTATACACGTAGTTTTTTTTTGTTATTATCTTGGCTCTTTGTATTTTTTTTTCTTCCTTTTTTTTAGATGTTTTCTTTTTGTCATATATTCTTAATCAAGTGCTATTTTGCATCACACTAAAATACTCTTTTATATAGGATTTTTAACCATTGCAAGAAATGATATAGCCTGTATTAAAGTAATACTACGAGTTCACGTTAAATGTTAGGTAAATTTGTGAAAACTAATAGACAGAGACTTCTTAATAAAATAGCGTGAAACAGTTTCTTTCCTTTTGGTATAATTTTTGCAAAATACTCACTCAAAACTCTCAATTTGTGGATTATATATTGATTGAAGTTTTTTTTCTTGCTCGTTTTTCTTTATCCTTTTTTTTGATACATAAAATACGTTTTGTCCGTTCTCTTAAGTCCTCTTATATGCCTAAATCAGACTTTTGAAGTCTTTCGATCAAGATCGCCATCACACAACGTATTAAATATTGTTTCACAATTTTTCCATTCGTCATAAATATTAATTTAGTCCAATAAATAGATTTTGTGAGTTAAATTAGTGTTTCTCTCATTCGCTATAAATACGAGATTTTAACTTGATATTTTAGCTCTTTTTTTCTCTCTAAGATTAAATTCTCACTAAATGTTTTCACTTTGACTAGAAGCAGGAAATGATATTTTACTTATTGGCCATGTAAGAAAATTAATAGAATTTACACTTTCTATCATATTTTTGATGGACACATAAAGAATGGCGCTCGTTATTTTTTGTTTTTGTTATTTTGAAGATTAAAAGAAAAAGAAGTGAAACACAAGAAAGTCGTGAATCCATCAGAATTTGGATTGCTACGCACTATTTTTCCTCTCTTTAACGCTAATTGTCTTCCTAATTATCCTTAACTCTGGCACTATTTTATGCACTCATGCACAATATCGCATTCGATTCACCCGTTTAGTCCTCCCAAGCCATCTTGATCCTCATCAGTAGTCGACGATCTTCATTCTGAAGGTGTTGTTCTTCGGGACGTTGAGGTGATTCCGCATTATGTGCTTCATCGTTGGCGGCTGATCATCGTCATCGTCGTCATCTGTGTCTGTGTCATTCACACGACCACCCATCGCTGGTCCACTGTAATCATCATCATCGTAGTCATTCTGCACGGAGAGGAGAGAAAGTGCAGCAATTAGTAAAATATGGCATTGGAAATTATGTCATTTCTTCATCGTGTCAAGAGATTTGAGCACTTTTAATATCGATTCATGCTGCAAGAAATATTCCATGCGCTGCCAAATCAAGCTACTTGTCTTAAGAAGTGACCAGAAAAACTCTAATATAATATATATATTGCTATTCTAAAGATAAGAGGAAAATTAGCTGAAAAAATAGCGTAGAAAAGTTGCGAAAGAAACTCCTTTGTCTTGAGAAATTTAACCACTTTATGAGAAAGCAATTCTAAAATTTATCCTATACAGAAAAATATTAATACTTGATAGAGAAGAAAACTAAGAATTGAATTCAAGCATGTATTATTATCCTTGGTGGATTGAAGCTTTTACCCAAAGGGGGAGATATTTTACATTTGCATTAAAATACAAAAGGAATCATTGCAATGATTGAAGAGAAAAAAATTGTTCTTTGCATCTTTCAAGGTTATGTGATTAATTTAAGAAGAAACTTTGCCACAAAATAACTTCCAAAATCATTTAATCTTGCGTCTAAGCTGGTTCAATCTGCATTTACTGGCACAATAATAATGAAATATGATGAAGATCACAAGCATTCAATGTTAAACATTAATCATAATCTCTAAAATGTTGTTTCCGTTAGCATGCTCTATGCTATGGAGAAGAAAATGTGTTTTAGCTAAAAATGTTGTTTCCGTTAGCTTCCACACACGTTCCGGAGGTGACAAGGAGTGGTGTACACCATTTAGCCGTATTATCTCCTCCTTGCTTTGATCAGTGAAGCAAGACTATATGAAAATCTTTAAGCTAGGAAATATTGAATGTATTGTGATTTTCTGCTCTTGTTGATGACTCAACTAATGACATAATAATAGAATGTGCATGAGAATGAAACAATGTCACTCAATTACAATCATTACCATATCTGATTTTGTCATAATCACAAAAATTAACTAGCAAACGAAGCCAAACTACTGACACAATGTGAAGTTTTTTTTAATCATGCAGAGAAGAAAAATGCAAAACTATTTCACGAAAAAAAATACTCTACCAATAAAAGTGGAAGCGCAAAATGCCAAAAAGTCTACGAAACATGATTAATAAATTAATGTTGATGAAAATACCATTTACCATTATATTGTCATGTATAATTGATTACCGTAGTTTTCTATATTTTCAGCAAATATCACTCAATCCATTTTGTTATTACAAAAAAAAATCCAACTGATGGAATTAATTTTTCGGGAAAATTTGTTCTTTTCGACAAGTCTGGCAATTAAATCTCTACAAAAAATGTACTTTTCTTCCTCCCATTTTTGCCTATAGTGGATTTAGAAAAGAGTCTTTCAACGGAGGGGATGGTGTGGTTAGTTGAGTGAATCTTATATGGCCTGCAGAATACAATTGAGGAAGGAATAGAGAGACAAATTAATCAATTCGGAATATCCTTTGGATAAACATTGGCATTTCAAACTTACATCAAAGTCTCCAATAGTGAAACGTGTTGCGCTCAATGAATTTTGTGGTGGTAAATCTGGACTGATCATCTTTTTTGTTTGTTTTCGTATTTGGTTATTGTTTTTGTTTTTTTTTTTTTTCAAGAAAGATAGATGAACGGAAAAACGGTTAGAATATCAAATTTGAGCAATGATTTTATGAAGAGTTAAACGAAAGTTAATCGTGAAAAAAGAAACCAAACGCACAAATATTTTAGAGTGTGAGAAATCAAAAATAACACAAGAGTGGTTAAAAGGAATGAGGATTGCCGAAAGGTTCTCTGTACAAATTATAACAGAAAAATAAGGTTTTTGTTGGAAGATAAAGAAACTGAAAATACAATTGATGGAAAATGATAAAATGTTGGAGAATTTCAACTTACATCGTCATCATCGATCATTTCCTTCGTTGAAGCCGTTGTCTCGTTGCGCCGAATGGATCCTTGGTGAATGTCGAGATCGACTTTGAGGATCTGGAAGCGACGCAGGAGGAAAACGATCGGCATGGGAAGAACACCAGCTATTATCATTGACAATGCAATGCCCATGACCCAATTGGGGTAGTTTGCAGACACAACAGCACCCTGAAAACACGTCAATATTAGTTAATCAAACTAAAAACTAACTGAAATTTAACCAAAATCTAACCAAAATCTGACTAACAAAGTTATAACTCTGATTTTTAGACCATTTTCAAAACATTTTATAGAAAATTAAGTGATTTTTCTTGCTTTTCATTGAACTTTCCAGTCTGTTATTCTGCAAAACCATCGCTTACCAATTCGGCACTCCATGCCTTGTACGTTGGATTGTCCATAATCATGAAGAGAATGGATGACGATAGGATGCAGACCATGATTGTTGGCCCAATATATCGCCAAGTCGCCTGCCAATACAGTCCGGGACGATAGCCAGTCATTTGATAAATGTCCTCAGAGAATCTGCGCATGGAAGAAGAGTTTCAATGTGAATTTGCATTAAGGAATGCACGGAAAAGTCTCATGAAACTCACTTTTCATGGCCATAAATGTAAATGACTGCAATCATTTCCATCAGCGCAATCACAACGAGACCAATTGTGCCGGCAAATGAGTCAAAGAGCTTCAGCCAGTATTCACCGGCTCCGGTGGAGAAAATCAAGCCAATGAAGAAGCACAGAGTACAAACTACCCCTGAAAAGATCGAAGGGATTATTTGCATATTCAAGACGATCAGTATAGATTTCAGATTGATCAAAAAGTCGTTGAAAAGGTCAGTAAAATTATCAGTAAAATGCAATTTGGTCAGTACTTTTGCTGTTTTCTCTGTCATTTTTTATTTCTGATAATTTTCTCCACAAATTGCCGTTAGATGGCAGCAGTTTAAAGGCATGTAGAAGTTCAAATTGTATTTTCCAAGCCAATCTCTATCAGAATATTAACAACGGACTAATTTGGGGGGTTTCAACGCCTCTAAATAGTTTGTTAATAGTATTAAATACTAAAATTCCTGTGAAATAGAATTTATAAAACCAATAATTAAAAATATTTTTTGATTATACTTAAAGACAGAGAAAATTATGTATAAAACGCTATATAAATAGCGTCCCCCGCGCCAACTTTTCTGCTCTCTGGCGGCCAAATGTAGAGATAATGATTAAATACTCAAATATTTTGCCGATAAAATTCAATATTTGATTGAGTCTATTAATATTCTTTAAAAAAATCAGTTAGTATTTTTCCAACAGATTTACTGATCAGAGTGCATTTTTTTATTGATCAAAATGGCGAACAAACCTGTGACGTATTGCTTGCGGATCCTCTTGAAGATGTCAATGTCGAAGATGGTGCAGAACATGCCCTCGAGCATGCCAATCTGCGAGCCGAGGCCCAGCGACAGGAGCATCATGAAGAAGATCACGGACCAGAAGGGCGCGCCGGGCAACTCCACGATGGCCTGCGTGAAGACTATGAAGGCCAAACCGGTGCCCTCGGCGGCCTGAAATGGCAAGCAAGCACATTTGGCGTGAGAGAAAAGTTTGTGCAGGAGAATCATTTGCATGGACAAAATATGGCATGAGTTTGTAGAAACGCAGTGCTAATTGGCAAAAGTTAGTGGCATTAGCACACCACACACATGCCCTAATATTGCAGCAACAACATATTCTCTACCAATTATCGATTTGATGAATTTAACTTTGCAGCACTAAATACACGTGGTCGTATATAAAGTGACGTTAAATTCGTATTGTTTGAATGAAATTGACTAATTATAAATTTCAAGGGGTAGATATTGCGGTCAGAAGTGGTGTACAGCTTTTAAGGAAGTGTTCGGAGTTGGAAATCAACAAATTGAGGCATTTTCTGTGGAAGTGTTGTACAGATTTAGGGCATATTATCTCCCCCTTGATAAATTTAAACTTGTATTTCATCCTCAATATTACGTTGAATTTCTCAAGGAAATTCACATTGTGAAATTCCGTAATGTTTAAATAATTCAACCACGTGTAAGTTTACTTTGGGATTATTAGTCAAGATATAGTTGATAAGTACGCAATTTGCATGTACTGACAGAATTAATTTACAACTTTCTGTTCTTTCTCTCTTTATGGAATGTCAAAGTGGAGAAAATTCCCTGATAAAGTGAAGCGCAATCTCATCACACTTCACGTGTTCAGAATGCGCGCGACTTACGTTGTCCAATTGTGTCGCTAAACTACATTCTTCCAGTTCCCATTCCTTCGTCATGTTCGCCGTGACGCTCTCCATCGCCTTATCATAGATACTCCGCTCGACATGCTTGTCCGGCAGCAATTTGTGCTCATGCAGGATCTTCATGTTGCTGTTTTTTTTTTTTCAAAGGAGATTTTGGCAATTAGTGCAAAGTTGCAGCAAAATGTCTCAAAGCTCAACTCACACTTCAATGCATCGCTCAACATTGGCAGTGGCTTTGAAGCCGAGAATGGAGAAGATCACCACGCTGGCGTAGATGGCCGTGATGGCGTTGCACACGGACACGAGGATCACGTCGCGCACGCAGTTGTTCTTGGGCGTGTTGTAGCTGCCGAAGGCGATGAGGGAGCCGAAGGCCAGGCCGAAGGAGTAGAACACCTGCGTCGCCGCGTCCAGCCACACTGTCGGCTCCGTGAGCTTCTCCACCTTCGGCGTGTACATGTGCATCAGACCCGCACTCGCGCCCGGCAACGTTATGCCGCGAATGAAGAAGATGGTCAGCACGAGGTAGGGGAAGAGCGAAGTGAAGTAGACCACCTGAGGGGGAGAGAAAAGAGGGCTTTTAGAGAGAGATGACTTATTTTTCCATTTGAAATTGACTTTAAAAAATCCCAGTGAACCGCAAAAGCTAAAAAAGCAGGTATTTTAGCTGAAAAGTGCTGAGATTTGATCAGTCGTCGAAAGATAAATTCTGAGCCGAAGTATCGAAATGGAAAGTGACAAACTCAGTGAACAGAAAATGCTAAGATTTCAGCGTTGATGCCGTTTCAATGTTATACTTCGTGATAACAACACTCAAATCAATCAACACTGAAAATGGCGCCTTTGAAAGAACTTGAAAAGAACTGTTGCGCTCAGTTGATATTGGAAAATTGCCCTCACAAGGAGGTGATTGCACTGCAGAGATTCCTTGAAAATCAATTCTTCATGAGCTCTTCGTGAGATTGAGCGATATTTGTGTCTCAGTGAAAAGAAAAAAAAAAACGAGGGCAATTTGCTTAATGACGCCACGCTGGGCAAATTGTCTTCTTACCTTGCCGGAACTCTGAATGCCTTTCATGACGATGAAGAACACGATAACCCACGCGAGCAGCAGACACAGGACAATCCACCACTTTAGGCCGCCGGAGTCCTCAATGGACGGCGAAGCGTCCAGCGTGGTGCGATACCAGAAGTAAGCTGTCTCAGACGATCGGGCGCACTCGTCCACGTCCGTCCCGTTTATCTGAGGACAGCTGGACCAAGGCAGTGGATACTGGTGAAAGAGAGACTTAGCAGAAAGTGAGGAATCCTGACCACTACAACTGCACATCCTCATTTCTTACCCTAAAACTATTGAAGAGATAGTAGAAACACCACGTGATGATGACGTTGTAGTACAGCGACACGAACAGCGTGACCAGACACGAGGCGATGCCAATGCCGCCCAGCCACGGATGGATGGTGTTCCACACGCCCAGCGATCCCAGGCGCATCTTCTGGCCGATGCCCAACTCGATGAGGAAGAGGGGAATCCCCTCCAGGATCAGCATGATGGCGAATGGAATGAGGAACGCGCCTGAAAGCACACACACAGAGCAGTTTAGTTATCACCAAGGTGCAGATATTACAGTCGGAAGTGGTGTACGGCTCAGCTGAAGTACTTAAGAAGTGAAAGTGTTTCAATAGTTGCTATATTTCTGGATAAAATCTTGCATTTTTTTCAATTTGTTGTCAAAAATCAATTAATTTAAGCAATTTTCTAGGTTATGTTATTGATTTAAAACCAATTCTGATGTTCAAAAACCCCTGAAAATCATGAAAATTGTGTTTAATCCACGAATGAGTTTCTTTTTCTTAGCAAAAGTGAGTTTTTGTGTTCAAAATAACTTTATATTTGTTAAGAAAAAGCTTAATTCAAATTTAAGAATTTGAAGAGTCTGAACCTTCTTGAGACGGAAAAACCTGGATTAAATTGTGATAAATCAGAAAAAAAACAATAATAGAAGCTGACGAAGGAGTCTAAAAAGCGATATAAATGCCCTTAAAGGCGTTCAAGAATGTCTGAAATGTTAAAGATTCTACACAGAAGTGTTGTACAGATTTAGGGCACATTATCCTCCCCTTGGTTATCACAAATCACGCGCGCACGCCTTTCACGGTCTCCACACATGATTTCATCGTGCGATAAGAGACGCAGAGCGTAGTGGAGAAAATGCGGGGTGGAAATATTCCGTTCATGAAAAATGCCTATAAATAGGATCCCATATGATGCATAAAGTGTCGTGTGCCATTAAATTTAGAGCCACATTCACGACATCCAGCTTTGCCCACCGCGTAATTTTCCATTCAACAAAACGAAAGTGTTCCACGCTTGTGATAAAAAGGCATATAATGCAGAAGGTGAAGTTGTGGGATTGGAATTTTCCACAAATTCTTCTCGGAAAAGGTCTCTTTTCGACGAAGAGGAAGAAGAAAAAAAAATCAATTCTCGAGAAGATTTGGCGGTCATGCTTCACGCATGAAGGAAACTTTTCATTCAATGTGAGCTTGTATGAGTTTTCATGTACATGAAAAAGTTGATTTTATGAGTAGAGATGAAAATTCGATAAATATTCAGGTGTAAATCAAGAGTTTTCCTTCCGTTAGAGTTTGATGTTCTTGAAAAAGCTGAAGCGTCAAAGATCAAATCATGACATTTGACATCAATTTCTTCAGCACATTTCGACAAGAACACTTGATTGATTACTCATAATCAATGTGTAATTATTGATTAGATGTTTTGAAATACTTATTGGCTATCAGAGATCAATTTACAAGATACAATAATTACTCATAATGGAGTCCAGTCGGAAACTTAGTAAAATTCACCTTCGTCTTATCTTGTACTTTGAGGCGTATCAACGGAAAGGCGCCAGGATTAGAACATGATCAACACCATAGTTGGTGAATAAAGTTTTCAAATGGATGTTTTGACAAACTATTAAAAGAAACTGCTGCATTCCTGGTGAAATTTTGGATCAATTTTCCATTTGCTGCTAAAAATTCGATATTTCTTTCAATTCTCGAGACATTTTCATTAAGGATTTTGACTAAATTGTACGAAGCTTTGGCTCAAATTGTGCATTCAACATCAGTGAAGCGCCATTTGGATGATTGCCATATCAAAATACCACTAAAACATCAGTGCTGTGAACTCAAATCAAGTGATTTGCTGAACTCGTCTAACAAGAAAGCATTGCGAACATATTGTTGCATTGAATTAATAGAAAATGATTTCATTATTTTTTGCAGCTTCAGTCGCGGCAAAAAGCATTGTTCAACGGCAACAATGACATGTGCTTTAATTCATTATCGATTTAACACCATTCACGAAGTGCTACGAAGTCCCGTGGATTGTTGTGTTTTTTTCGGGGAGTGGGAAAAAGTTTGGCGACAAGTGTACAAAAGAGTGATAAAGCATTTTTCTATTTGCCATGAAGTTCTCTGGCACATGAAATCATATTGATTTTATCCATATGGGTAAATATTTCGCGATTTATGTGCAGAGATATCGAATTTTGTGGTTTTTCTTTGCAAGAATTTTTTATCAGTTTATGTGATTGTGAAGGGGAGGAATTTTCCGCGAATATGTGCACAAATAGTGTGCGGATTAATTGACTGTGTGTTGTTGCAAATCAGAATGAAGAAGGCTTTCAGGTGAATAATGACCACAATATGTTCTGCTTGCACGCAACAGAGAATCTTTCAGACTTGCTCGGCAAAAATGTTGCATTTCTGCGTGATTATTGATTTTCATTTGTGTTGTGATGGATTTGACTTTCATTCTCCACAGCTTTTGATCTGTTTCACATCGAATAGGCACACTTTTCGTGCCCTTTTCACTCTCGTCCTCGATGTAGGGGAAAGTGGGGCTTTTCTAAAGCTTAATAGACGAGTAATTATCGCAATCTTGGCGACTTTAGCATAAGATTTGATGTGCTAGAATGCGAAATATTCTAAAAATCCGTCAGTAACTCGTTACATAACCCAGAAAAAGTTTTTTTTGTAGTAAAAAAAACATGCAGTAAAAGAAAATTGTAAATTTTTAAACACTTCCGCTGAGTTGTTCACCATTTCTGACTGTATTATCTTCGCTCAATTTTCAGAACAACACTGCCCCACTTCCCCTAGACTAGTTTTCTGTCTTTTTGTGGAATTCATATATTTCTTTTCTTCTTCTCATTCGACAATAGAATGTAGGTCAAATTATACATATTTGCATAATTGCCAGAATCGATCGTCTTCGAGAATTTTCCTCTCTTGTGATTCAATGGCTTTTCCCTCCCAATTGAAGTCTGTGCAATATATATATATATATAGAAAGAGTGTTGTTGAAAAAGAGCCGAAGAGAGAGAGAGACTTTTTATGATCATCACGAGACGCGTGTTGATAAATTTAGTACATTTTTTTCTTCAACGGAGATTTTCTCCTTCTCGCCTGTCCCTCAATATATTGCGTCGATACACTGATTCTCGTCTTCTTACTCAGTCACCTTCGAACACGCGAGAAGTTCATTATTGGATGAAAAGCCATTTATTACTCAAGAACGTCTCGCAGACCATTTGAGCCAATTCCATCACATGGAATTCCGTGGCGCTTTATGCATTAAAGTTCACTCCTGATTGTGGTCTTCGATTCAACTTTAAGTCATTCGAGGGGGGGGGGGGGAGAGAAATACATTTTAGCTTTCATTTTCCCAAATTGCACCGCAATTTTCTTTTCAAGGCAATGTTGTGACTAGGTTATTTGGAGGTGTGTTTTTATATACCTTCACGAATTGAGTCTTAATTCACAATTCCTGCGCGATTTGATGGAAAATAAACACACAAAGACAGAAATAGAAGCATTTTCTTAGTGAAAATTCACAGGATTCGAGTGAGAGAGAGAGAGAATTATGATGAAGGTCTCTTCCAGAATATGAACACAAACATAATATTTGCCATAGATGGATAAATTGCGATTGTAGGGCTTTGGCAGAAACAATAACATGTATTTTCATCCCAAGAAAAAGCACCGCCAAGACAAACACTTGAGAGGAAGACACACACAAGAAGGTGATATTAAAACGGTAAACATTCAATTAACATGTGTTTTTCAAGCGTGATATAAATTTTGACGAAAGCAAACCTTGCACTGCAAATTAACCCACAATGTGAGATCGAGTAAATATCTCATTGAGATAAAGATGATGAAGGTCTATTTTAAAAATATAGTCATTAGGCAAACGCTAACGAATCTGATGTGAAACATCGCAACACTTTAAAGGGTGCCGGATGTACTCTCAATATGCAGATCACATTGGGCGGAGAATACGAAATAAGAGAAAGATTCTTCTGGCAATTAAGAAAATAAACAATTTGAGGCAAAACGGAAGAATCATAAACTATTGAAATTCGATAAACACAGAGTGTTGAACATTTTTTTGCTATTCTTCTTCACACATACTGAATATCGATATGAAATAGTTGAATTAGTTTTCAGCAAGGGAAAGATAGTATGACCAGAAGTGGTGTACAATTCAGCTGAAGTGCAAGTGTTTAAAATCTTATAATATTTCTTTCTCGAGTGAATCTTTTACTGTGAAATTGTTCCGTTTTTTTGGGGTTCCTTTGATTTTTACGTAGAAACAGTCATAATAATATTTTTCTAGGTTATGTAATGAATCAAGGATAGATTGAGTGAATAATTCGCATTCTAGCACATCAATTGCTAGTCTTTAGAATAAAAAAAGTTTTGTATGCATTAAAGTTCGCTATTTTGAACATTCGATGCCAAAAAAAACACTGGAAATTGTGCTAAAATCGAACATAACCTCAAAAATATGCATTTGGTATTGGAAAATGCTTATTTAGAAAACTTTTTGTATAATTTAAAGTCTGAATCAGTAATTTTAAGTTCATTGGCAAATAATAAGAGACGATTCTGTTGTCTAGAAAGCTTCCACAGCAGGAAAAAACTGAAAGTTTTGGAAGCCCTGCACATCTTCTTATCGGGACATAGAAATGTCAACGAAAAGGTAGATTGTTGTGGAGAAGAAAAGGCATTTGAGCTAAAAAGGACGTTTCCGTCAGCTTCCACAAAAAGAAAGTTTCCAAACTGAGACTTTTGAAGATCTCTTAATAATATTTTGAGGTTATGGTTGGAAAAGACACGCAATAAAGCGAATTTTAAGTGGATTTTTGCAGAAAGATCAGTTGGAAACCTACGAGATTAATTATAATTTGATAATTAGTGTACAAACAGTGTTAAAATTTCAAGATTCAAAATTGCAAACCGACTTCAAGATTGATTTTTTCAATTGAGAATCCTTTAATCGTTAAAATGAATGAATTTTTTTTTCATCATTCACCACTAAAATCCTGTATTTCTCTGCATATTCAGAGGGGAAACCGAAGGATTTCCATGTCGGCCGCACTTGTGCTTAATGTGCACGGTGATTTATTAATAGGAAACTGTCACACTGTGATGAGTGTGTGGAAATTTTCCGCGACACTTCACTGAAACTCACCTCCTCCGTTCTGCTGGCAAAGGTAGGGAAAGCGCCAGATGTTGCCCAGGCCGACGGAATAGCCGATGATGCTGAGGAAGAACTGCATCTTGCCCGACCACGCGGCCCGATCGGGATCGCCGTCCGCCGCGCCGCCATCGGCCGACCCGATTGAGCTCCGAGGCGGCGCCGACAGGACAATCGTGACGCCGTGTGTGCCATCGCCGCGCGCCCTCGTGTTTAGCGGCGCCATCTCGTGGCCATTCTTGAGGGCGCCTTGCAATTTAGTTGTCATTATCTTGTTTGCACTTTTTCAACACTCTTTCAAAGTATTTTACACTTCACAGTTTCTCAACACAATACAAAATCCTTTACCTCCTGAGTCTTCTGCTCTTATTCACAGTCCTTGCGATTTACCATCAATTCTGGAATCTGCAAAAGGGACACAAAAATGGCACTGAGTGAAGAATATGATTTTCAGGCGTATGTGTTGTGTTTGGGTGTGTTTTTTAATTTTAGTATCACTCTAAAAATATCCTTGAAATGTATAATAGTGTGACAATCACGTGTATGTGATATATTTTTGTGCTGCTAAATTACGCTGCGAAGCACTCTCGTGAGATTCACCCAACAATGTAAATGCTCTTGAGCATTTTGTGGACCTTCTAAAGTGGCGCGATGGATATTTGGAGTTGGCGCGCGCATATGTATTAATACAGCACTGGTGATACTGTAATGAGTAGAGGTTGTGCGATAAATTCCCTTATCGCAGGTAACGCATATTTCACACTGAATTATGTTTAATCATGCGGAAATAACAAGTGCGAGTGAGACAGAGAGAATTAATAATTTTGATTAAACGATTTTAATTGCGCCCATACGAAAAAATTGTGGAAATAATATGGAAAATTTCCAAAGGCACAATAAACACATACACGCACACACCAAGGGGGAGATATAATATGAATAATAACAATAAAATAACTTTCAATAGAGATTACCGCAATACTGGGAGAAAAAGAATTGTTCTTTGCATAGTGTTGTCTTCAAAACGTTCCGAATAAGTTTCTTTCAAGGATTCTTTTTGGTAACTCAAGGTAATTTATAGGTTATGTTCTAAAGTGCATCCTAAAGAGTGATTTAAAATTAAATTACATCAAAATATCCACCTGAAACTTCTAATATTTCTTAAAAACCAGTTTTTATGCAAGTTTTCATGCTCATAAAAGTAAAAATTGCATCAATTGTGAGTGAAAAACTCTTAAATTTTTAGGTTATGATACGAAAAAGGAGACGAAAATGAGGAAAACGCATGTTTTAAGCACTCCCAAAGTTCTGGAAGTGTCTGTGATTCTTCTACTTAGTTATTGTTGTATTTAGCCGTTCTATCTCCCCCTGGGAAGACACAAAATTCCTCCAGATGCGATGGTGAAAATGCTTTGGAAATTGATATATAAATAACATTGTCTAATGCCAGGAGTTGTTAAGAGAATATTGGAAGAGAAATAAACTGAATAACTTCAGTGGCATTCCATTCCTTTTGCCACAACTCACAAAATGATCTAATTCGCTGTTCTCCCTTGGTGAATAGCAATCATACAAACATCACACACATCCACGTCATGACTATTGCATTGAACTTGACATCGTGCCAATTTTGCTATCTCACTCCTCCGCCCACCGTCGCACTCGCACGGGCTTTTGCTGCACTTCTATAATTTTATATCATCTCTTTTTTTTACAGCTTCAGCTGCGCCATAAATTCTGTATACTTTATAGAGAGCGAGAGAGAGAGAGAGCAAAAAAAATTGTATGTAGAAAATTTCAATCGCGTTTCCTCTTTTCCAATGTGATCTGGACCGATGCGAATCATGTGCTCAATTGAATCGGTTTTAAATCAATCACATAATCTAGGAAAGCAATAAAATTGAATTTTTCAAATACAAATATTCTAAATACTTAAGCACTTCAAATTCTTAACACTTCTTTTAAATCTCTGCATTACTTCCGACCATACTAATCTCCCCTTTGGATCTGTTGGATCACTTAAAAATTATCAATCGATGGTGGCAAAAATAAACAGCATCTCGCGAATATTAATTGGCAGTCTCTGAAAGGCTCCTTGGGCGGCCGCAAAGCATCTCAAGGAAATGCCAGTCAATTGACTGTTCGACCCCACAATTTCCGCGCCACGTCGCGCGCTTCGCCTTTTCCATCCTCAACAATAATGCCCGAGAGGACGAGCTCAATATTAACTGTGTTGTATCGCTGATTTTCGGTGCTTCTTCTCCTGAACACACACACACCCATGATTTCCTCTCTTGTTCATCTCAGGAGGAGAGTTTAGCTCAAGGCGGGGACTTGACAAGTGAGAGAGAGAGAGAGAGAGAGAGTTTTTGCGCCTTGAGAAGTTCTGGAGTGGATTTTCAACGAATATTCCTGTCCTCGCGCACATTCGCATCATTTGTCGTTGAGCATTTTTCGTCTGTCGTTATTCTTGTCTTTGCCGCGCAAAAATAAAACGAATAGGGGTTGATTTTTTGCACATTCTTCCATCCCTCTCTCATTCTCTTGTCCTCTTGACAACGAGAGAGCGATGGAGAGAGGGATATAGTGCGCGAGCGACAGCGTGATGTTGGACAGAAATTCTATTCACCTTTTCACAAATGAGCCCAAATGGATGGGGTTGTTTTCTATATTGGCTCAGTTTCTCTAGTTCAAACATTGCATAACTTTATCACCAGTTGGCACTCAATTCTTCTACACCCAGACATTATAGACAATTTCAAATTTTATGGCAATTTCTACAGCCAGATTTTAGAAGAGAAGATTGACTATAAATTGTCATAAAAGTTTAAATAACCAATAAACCAATTACATTGTCTTCGAAGATGTCAGCTAGACAACCGTGGAAAAGTCACTGTCGATTTCACACCAATAACTTTGTGATTATTCAATCTTTTTCATGATTTATGCCTAAAAGTCATGCAGCAATTTAACCTTTAAAGACATGTTAATTTTAAGTGTTCAAATCCAACTTAATCCAATATAACACATTTTTTACACTTCTTGTTTGACTGAGAATTGCTCCAATAATCAAATTTATATTAATATCCTGTGAAAAATACTAAATTCTTGCTTTATTCATTCAATTTTATTACTTGAAAGTAAAAATCAATATTTAGATATTTAATTGAGCCCTTTAAGATACCCCAAAAATTGTTAAGTGTTTTTTCTTCTGGAAAACGAACTTCTTCGGTGACCGAAAACGAGTTTTTGCAGGGGTAAAATTTTGCACACGTAAAATATATATGGAAGAATTTGTGCATCCTTTTTGCACTCGCATTCATTGCGTCGCGGCGTCTCTTTCTCACCCACACCCCTGATTGTGTGAGGGGTGAGAGAAATCCACCCTGGCTGTGTGTGGTAGTTTTTGGGCATCCACAAACTGTTCCTAATGTCAATGTGTGCGTGAGTGGAAATTTTCCATTTAGAGACTGTCTGAAAAATGAGGTAAGTTTCAATGTTATTTCGTTGGAAAAATGTGTGAGAAAAGACTTTTTTTTCACTATGTTTTGTGGGTTTATTTAGTGCTGAAGAACAGATAAATTGAAATGGAAATTTTTCTCAGTCTTGAGATTGGAAAATTCTTCACTTGAGATGCGTTGTTTGTTAATGAATATTGTTGAAGCACTTGAATCATTCTTTGATTAGCACGAGGCGCAGATTTGCCGAGGAGGAGAAGAAGGACGAGAAAGGAAGAGGCGTTTTGCTAGAAATTTCCACGTAATTTTCACGCTGGGAAACATACACACACACACACAGTCCAAGAAGTGGTTTCTTCAGTGGAAAAACACCCGAAACCTTCTCATCTTTTTGTGGTGGAAAACTTTAGTCCCTAATGACCCGTGAGCAAAAGATTCTTGGCAAAATTTTACCACTTTTAGGTCATCATTCAACATTGGGAAGCATGAGAAAAATTCAAATATTTGCACTGCACGAGGAAAATGTGTGATGTAAGAATTTTTCAACACACTGTTCTACATTTTATGACTTTTTTTAAGTGAAAATTTTCACTCTCTCTCTCTCTCTCGCACAATCTTCTGCTTGTGTGATTTTCCGACACCAACAGTTGGAAGAAAATCCATAGTTGATTGGGAAAGTGTGTTCAATCGCTCACGAGAGTGTCTTTTTTCCCCGTATTTATACTTGATTTATTTTTAAGTTGAGTGAAAAATTCTGTTACTTTTTTTACCCGTTGACGAATTCTTTCCGCAAAACCCTCTTAAGCAGTCTTAAGTGTTCTTTTTCTTCACTCTCTCTAGAGTTACACTCGCGCACAAGCCGTTAATGTTGCGATCCAGTCGTTGAAGATATTCGTCGGGGACTGAGAATTGTTCGAAGAAGTCTAATAGAATCAACCTTATGCGCTGCTCTCGCACGGCACGATGTTCTCTCGCTCTCAATGGCCTCTCACTCTCTCTGGCCCACCCCCGGACACCCCTCGCGATACCCACATGTGCCAGGAGGGCCAATTCGAGTGACGCACTGCTCTTGGATGTATTTGTTGGTCGTTGCAACGCTCGGTTTGAGCTTTCGTGGCGCGGAAATTCAACTGCGCTGGCGCCAAGGAATGACGACAGAGTTTTTCACACATGATTCTCTCCCTCTCTCTCTCACTTTCCTCTCCCACCTCATGGCCAATACACAGAGAGCGAGAGAGAGGCACACAATTCTCCTCTCGCGCATGAGAGAAAATTCCTCAGAGAGACTTAAATTCTCCTGTAAAATTCACATGGATTAAAATGAAAATTTCCATCGCACTTCCTGAGCTTTCACTCTCGTCCACGGTCACAACATCTAATTTTCCCCCCTGATGGCCTTCAATTTATCTCCCCCCTGATCATCGACAGCACGCGTCCTTCGGAATTCCAACCCTTAAGCGCTATCTGCATATGCACAACCCACTTATTCAGCCCCGAAGGCTCTTCGGAGAGCTCCAAGGGGGAGACAATGTAGTTAGAAACAGTGTACAGCTCAGCTGAAGTACTTAAGACGTGAAAGTGTTGCAATATATGCGATATTTCTGGATAAAAACATAAATTTCTTTCAATTTGTCTTCAAAAAGCAATTAATCAGAGTAATTTTCTAGGTTATGTGATCAATTAAAGTTTATATTTGCTTATTTTCCTTCACATATTGCCGCCAGAGGGCAGCAATTTAATCTTAAAAGTCATGTTGGAGTTTCGATTGTATTTCCTCCTAATTTTAGGTGTTCGAATCCAACTGACGGCAAATTATAGGATTTTTTGCCATTTAAATTTAAATATTATTAAATTTATTTAAATATTTATTTAAAAAGGTTCAATTTTTTATTATTTTGCATTTTTTCTTGAGAAATAATCCTTTTTCAACTCATTTTTATTCAAATTTTGATAATTTCAGAGTAGAAATCAATATTTAAATGTTTATTTGAACAGTGACTTTCATTTTGGAAAAAAATATAACCACAAAAATGTGTTTTAGGTTTTAATAACATTAATTTTTAGAGTTTTCTCACCAAATAAGGAGTAAAAATGTTCAATTTTCTCCTGGACTTTTTGCAATTTTCATCTGGAATCTTTATGAACTCTAGAAGAGTTTAAGAAGTGTCAGGAAGTGGTGTACAGATTTGAGTCATATCATCCCCCCTTGGAGAGCCCTTACGCCAGGGGCGGCATGAATGAGAGGGGCTCGGCTGACGTCATCGCATCTTCTACGCCTCAAAAGTCCTCCAATGGCTGATCGTGGGTCGAAACACACCCCCTTTTCCCTCGGAAAAAGCTCTCCATTCACCGTCGCCTCACACCCACGCGCCTGAGCTTTTGCCCACTCCATTCATCGCCGTCGCGTGCGCCCCGTCGCCACCCTCCCCGCGTGTCATTTCACTTTTTGCCACCCCTTCGCTGTGTGAGCCTGAAATAAGGCTGATTCAGGCAATCTGTTTGGGTTGAAATTGAGTGTCTTCTGCAATGCGCATGCTCACCTGTATTTCACAATTCGCTCTGCAGGTATCTCACAGTGTCCTTGCGAGCTTTGCGTTATGTATGCACACCCTGACAACCCTGACAACAGAACAATTCCCACTGTCACACAATAATATTAAATAATTTATAGATCTAACTTGAGAGCTTCCCAGCTGTTAATGCACAGCTCACAAACGACACAAAAGAGTCACCAAAATTACAATTCTTCATCGATTTTCAACATCTTGATAGTGACTTGAATTCCCAAGGGGGAGATAATGCAGCGAAACAGTGGTCAACACTTCCTGACACTTCGGCAATTTCAGTGAAGAATCACAAATAATATATCTAACAAATATGCAGAAACAAGCAGGACAGACAAGGCCAGAGAATGATGAAGAAGTGCACCAATTGACGTACAGTCACAATAGATCGCTGCATAGACAATAAGAAACTGGAAGCATTGGACGCCCTCCACATCTTCGTATCGCAACATAGAAATGTCAATAAGAAGGAAGATTGTTTTGGCGTTAGCTTGATCTATGGAAAAACCTACAGAAAGTAATTTAAATCATTTGATAATCCAATTATTATTATGAACTGATACAAACTTCAGCTATTCTTATACGTAAATTTTTAATTCCCCTCAAGATCATAAACGATAAATGGTAGAAAAAACGCATACATAAAGTTAAATGCATCCATTCTGTGTTACTTCACATGCAACACGATTAACACAACAAATTTAGCTTTATGGCTTGTTCTTGTAGTATTTCCCGATGAACGTAAAAGAAAAACGTGTAAATGTTACGATCGCAATAACTCTATAATTAAAATATCTCAATGAGAGTTCAGTTGTTGTCACGATGTCGTTGACGTTCGTCCGCTTTTCCCATTTGGATTACTTCTTCTTCTCGATCGTCTTTGTCGTTTCCATCGCGATCGGAGTGTTCTTCGCGTTTGGCAAGCGACGTCAGTCGATGGAAGAGTTCCTCTTCGGGGGTAGAAATCTCAAGCTACTGCCTGTCTCGTTCTCCTTGGCCGCCACAATAATCTCGGGATCAACCATAATTGGCCAGAGCATAGAGACGTACGCCTACGGATTTCACAATTGGATCGTCATCAGCTTCTTCGTTCCCTGGGTGTTGGCCATGCGTCACGTCTTCCTACCGGTCTTCTACGAACTCCAGCTCGAGAGCAGCTTCAGCTATCTGGAGATGCGCTTCGACAAGACTGTTAAGCACATTGCAAGCACTTTCTACGTCATCAGTGGCTTAATCTTCATGTCACTGACACTCTACGTTCCCGCTTTGGCATTCCAAGAAGTCACTGGCTTCGATCTCTACGCGATCCTTGTGATCATGAGTGCGATTTGCATTTGGTACACAATTATCGGCGGCATCAGAGCAATCATCTGGACTGATGTCTTTCAGTGTGTCCTGATCCTGTTCTCCGGATCTGTGATCCTCATTGTGGGCTGGAATAGTGTTGGCGGCATCGGCAAAATCTGGGAAGCTCTAGATCGTGGTCAAAGACTAACGTTCTTCAAGTATGTATAACATTAAATACAAACCGAAAGTCAATTCACATATTACGTCGCATTAAGCCAAGAAAAGCCAAAAAATTCACGTGAAAACCAAGGAAATAGCCATAAACAGTGTTTTTAGGTTGACAAGATTAGATTGTTTGGATTCAAGGGAGAGATAATAAAGTCTGAAATGGTGTACAGCTCAGTAACAATATTATAGGAATTTTAAGTTCATTGGCAAAATATAAGAGACGCTTTTGTGATCTAGAAAGCTTCCACAAAGAAAAAAAAACTGAAGGCATTGGAGACTCTCCACATCTTCTTATCGGCACATAGAAATGTCAATAAGAATGAAAATTGTGCTGACGTTAGTTAGATTGTGTTGAGTTTTGGCTAAAAATGCTGTAAAGCGTGATTTTACAGCTGAAATTCGCACTAAATAAACTTTTAACTTAGTCTTTTTTCGCCATTTTGTTCATATTTAAAGTGTAAAGTTATATCAACAATTCGTAATTCTTCAGGTTTGACTTGGATCCAAGTGTGAGAGGAACAATATGGTCGTATATCTTCAGTGCCTTCCTCATCTACATCTACCAATTTGGGGTGAATCAGAGCAGCTTGCAGCGCTACTTATCCTTGTCCACCTTTGACGAGGTCAACAAATCCCTCTGGATACAGAGTGTCATTATGGTGGCTTTGCTGCTGATTCAATTCACCATTGGCGGCATAATTTACACCACCTATGAAGATTGTGATCCTCTGATGGCTGGCATTGTGAAGAAGATCGATCAGATCTTCCCGCACTTTGTGCAGGAAAAGGCTTCACTCTTCGCCGGTTTCAATGGCATCTTCATTGCAGGCGTCTTTGCTGCTGGTTTGTCCACGGCTTCGACACTTCTCAATACACTCGGCGGCACAATTTACAGCGATTTTCTCGGCTCGCGACTGAAAATCACGTCAGAGAAGACCTTCAATTGGACCATGAAGATTATTGTCAGCGTGGTTGGAGTGACAAGTGTCCTTCTCGTCCTTCTGATTGAGCGAATGGGAACAATCTTCGCCATCACCACGCAATGCTTCACTTTGTCCACCGTTGGTGTCTTTGGACTCTTCATCAGTGGCATGTTCTTTCCGAAGATCAACAGCAAAGTGAGTTTATCCCCTGGAAATAAATTCCTCTGCTCTTCATTTATTTATTCAGGAGGGCGGTTGCTTTTTTTCTACAGGGTGCAAAATGTGGCGTCACACTTTCAATGCTTATCGTTGGCGCTCTAATTATTGGTGGCTTGAAGAAGAAACCTGATCCAATTCTTCCTCTGCGCATTGACGGCTGTGACTTCACAAATAGCACATTTTCCATCGGAAATCACAGCATTTCCAGCAACATCACACCATTGATGACTGAAAGTGAAGATCTTCCGTGGATCTTTCGAATAAATTTTCAATATTACAATATAATTGGGCTGGCAATTAACATTTCCTGTGCATACATTGTGAGCATCTTAAGTGGTGCTAATGAAGTGACAAATCAGAAGCTTTTAGTCACATTTCTGAGGAAGAGCGATCGATCAGACGCTCTAATGAGTTGCACAAGCACGACTTGAGTGGCAAATTAAACACAGTTGCAGTTTTATTTAGGAAATTAACCATCAATCGATGACAGACAAATAGATTCAAGAAGCTTTCAAGTTCAGTAAGCATTAAGATTAAGCTGTTGTAATTGATGATTCTTTGAATTTATCATATTCTGCTGTAAACAAGCTTAATTGTATCGTATTGATATTAAAAATCATTAAATAAAACATTTATTAAGCCTTTTTCATCTCATTTAATAATAATTCTGAACAATTTCTGTCTTGATTTCATAGTTTTATCTTCACAAAAATGCATAGAAAAATTCTGATCGAATAGTGAGGTTAGAAATCCAACTGGAGTAATCCTTCTTAGACTAATTTTAACCCTTTAAAATCAGGAAATGAAAAAATTTAGCGAATTTTTTCACATTTTGTACTATAAAATGAGATTAAATATGTAATTTTTATGCAGAAACCGCGTAAATTACAGCAAAGAAACATTTTTCTACACTGAAATGATATTTTTGAGGTTATGAGTGACATTTAATCAATCTGGAGGTTTTTCAAAGTCAAGGGCTTAACTTTGGAGAAGAAAAAGTGAAATATTCTCAGCCTAAAGACAACTTTAATAATTTGGAGGGCCTTTTTAGAATCTAAAATCTATTTTAAATCAATCACATAACCTAGAAAAAAGCAATAAAAATGATTTTATAACCAAAATGTGTTAGAAAATGGCTAAATTTGTTGAAACAGAAGCTTTTGCAGTACAAATACTCTAAATATTTCTTCACTTTCCATTCCTAACACTTCCTTTTAAGCTGTACACCACTTCCAGCCGCAATATCTGCCCCTTGTATTTCTCTATAATATGCTAAATATTCTTCTTAACGATTTACACGTGTATTCAATGAATTTTCCACTTCCGTTCATTATTCTCTCTTGCAATTTCTAAATGCTTTATCGAAGCATTTGACTGTGATTTATCCGAGCGCGTCAATTTATCGCCAATTGGAGGAAGCAAAACTGCGTCACTGAACAAGGAATTGATTGCAACTTCCCATGCCCAGCGTAATTGTTTTCCTCCAGATTGTGCCAAGCAAACAATTTCATGAGGAAATTGCGCAACGGCCGACAAAAAGTCATCTTGTTTCAAGTTTTCGAGTTTCAACACGTGTTTTTGATCTCGGGAAAGTTGAGAAAACTTTGCAAATTACATTTCTGCACTGTGAAAATGGGCGCAAATTTCATCCATGAGCAAAAAAAAGAGACACCCAAGAAACACATTTGATTTTCCACTGAAGAGGAGAAGAAGTTTGTGGAATCATCAACATTTATCGGAAGTTAATTGCACTCAATTGGCTATTAATAAAAGTGATGCAATCAATATCTGTGCAATATTTTCGCCATGCAGCAATAAATTGCCTTTGCTATTGAATTGATCGCACTTCTCTTAACTGTTCTTTGCGCAAATCAGCTGAGATTTCTCGCGAGAATTGTACGAAATTTTGCACTGCTCAATTTATCCCGATCAATGAAGGCATTTTCACGCTTCATTGAGAACAATGCTTTGGCATATTGATTCAGAGAACATTTTCTCTGCTGCTCTTCAAACGAGTGTTAGTGAGGATTTCACACAAACTCCGCCCACTAAGAAGCCCCGCCCATCCGGAAGAATCAACCAATAATAATAATTATACTCTGTGGACTCTTGTTCTAAAGGAAATTCAATATCATAAAACCCCAGTAAATACTCTTTATTATGAACAGATTTCTTAACATTTTCGCAATGTTTGTAAACTGTCCTTATTTAAAATCTTGGGCCTTATCTTCTTGTTCGAGGTTAATGACCATTTAATGACTTAAGCTCTTGATCGATAGACTGAAATAAATAGTTTGCAAATCATAAATTTTATGCCAAACAACATGCAAAGGAAAGAAAATCACCAACTTGTAATTTCTATAAGTTAATTTATTCAATAACATTGTTTCAAAGAATGCTGCTTTTATTGTTAACGTAATGATCTTAATTTTTTTTTGGGACAAATTCACGTTCAGTTTTGCGCAAACACAAAGCAAATTCTTGCACAATCTTTAGTAAAATTGAGTGAAGACATTTTATTCAAGTGTTCCTGAACGGAATTCAGAGATTTTCCCATTGAATTTTCTCTCAAATATTGTCATTTTCTCTGTTAATTTTTCCCTCTCACATCCAGGACGTCTTCTCCTGCTGACTCTGTATCGCGATCTGCAGGATCTGCACGTCCTTCGAGTCGCTCTCGTCCTCCTGCTGCTCAATGGCGACGTCATCGGCGCTCGTCTGCAGATTGTCGTCTGCCTCGGCGCCGAGAATGTACGTCGTTGACTCAACTTGCGCTTCCTGATCGCCATCGGCGTCTTGGCCGCCGCTCGCCTTGCCGCCGCTCTCCAGCAATCGCGGCTGATTCACTATGATTGTGTCACTCAAGTGACTCTCGGACTTCATGTGCGCGAACAACAGCGGCTTCCGCATGAATCCCTGTCCGCACTGCACGCACTCGAAGGGCTTCTTGTCCGAGTGGACAAATCTGTGCGTGTTGCGATTGTCTTGGTTGTTGAAGCCTTTTCCGCACACCTGAAATACAACGACAAAATAAATAATTGATTGGCAATTCCATCCAAATTTACCACAATTTTGAGTCCTTTTGCGATATTTTGACCATTTTTTTTGAACTGAAACAACTTTAAAGACTTTCAAACACAAATTTACATTCTAATGGTTTTCATAAAATTCGTGATCGGCTTAAAACCAATTCGATTTTCAGTTTTACTTTAAAAACAAGAGATAAAGTTAAGAAATTGAGGAAAAAGCGGGTTTTCGGTGTGTAAAAGCCTTGATTTCACAGTGAATGAAAGGCAATTTCTCACCTCGCACGTGTACTTCTTCTCGTTGCTGTGGATCAGGAGGTGTTTCTTGTAGTGCTCGGGATACACGAAGGACGACGGACAGACGGTGCACTTGAAGGGCCGCTCGCCCGTGTGCACGGCCTGAATGTGGTAGTCCAGCAGACGCCGGCGCTTGAAGTTCTTGTCGCACATGTCGCACTTGTAGCGCTTCTCATTCAAGTGCGTGGCGCGCTTGTGCGACTGCAGATTGCTGCGCTGCGCGAAGCACATGGAGCAGATGTCGCACTGGAAGGGCTTCTCGCCCGTGTGAATCCTCTCGTGATCACGCACCTCGGCGCGCCGCGCGAACGACTTGCCGCACGTGCGACAGAGGAACGGCTTGTTGCCCGAGTGCACGATCTTGTGCACGCGCAGATTGTGCGACGAGCCGAACGCCTTGCCGCACACGTCGCACTTGTACTCCTTCACGCCCAAGTGTGTCTTCTCGTGCTGCCAGAAGAAGCATTTCCGGTGAACTGATTGAACACAACACAAAAACGACTAATGGAACTTTTGCCTTACGTGAGCGAGATTCTGGCCGGTGAGGAACTTCTTGCCGCACACGAGACAGCTGTAGGGCCGCGGCCGCGCCGTGTGGATCCTCTCGTGGGCCGCCAAAGTGTACTTGGAGGCGAAATCCTTCGGGCACTCGGCGCACTTGTACGGCCGATCGCCCGTGTGCATGTTCATGTGCTCCTCCAGCAGATTCTTCGAGCCGTAGGGCTTGTCGCACAGCGTGCACAGCCACGCCTTGCCAGCGGCGGCCTGACCCTGCCGCCTCTGCCCCTGATCCTCATCCGCCGCGCCCTCAGACTCATCGCTGCCACACATCAGCGTCGCGTCCTCTCCCAATTTGGCGTTCGAATGCGATTCTGCGGGGGAGAAAAGCATTTGAGAGAAGTGATAGAATGTTAAAAGAATGATTTTCTTGAGATTCTCGCCTCATTGCAACTTTAAGTTTATAACATTTAGAAGAAACTGTCATAAATATGATTTTACTAAAAGGTGTTGCAAGATTACGATTAGTTTATTATACGAAAGCCGAAAAATTCACGTGAAAATCAAGGAAAAAGACAATAATTATGTTTTTATGTAAATGAGCAGATTTTAGGAGATCTTCTTAGCAAGACAAGATGCTAATTGGTCTAAGAGCGTTCAAAGAGGGATTCAACAGCCAATGAGACTCACCCAAGTGCCTCATGAGATACATCCGGCGGCCGCAGTCTTTGCCACAAATGTCGCAAAGGTAGAGCTTCTCGTTGTGCTCGATCTTCATGTGCAGCGTGAGCTCCGTTGGATCGCTGATGACTCTCTCGTCCGGACAGAGATTGCAGTGGAAGACGTTGTGCTTGCGCGTGTACACTTTCTTCGGCGCCTCCTCTGACGCCTCGGCGGCAAACAGCAGTTCTGCACTCTCGCCAATCTCCATCTCGTGCGCCTCCGCCTCGTCATTCTCCTCTCCGGACACGACAGTGATGATGCTGTCGCTTTCGATGGTCTCCGCACTGGTCATCCTGGGCGCCTCCTCTGCTGTCTCCTCGTACTGCGGGGGGAAAGGGAAGAAAAGATGGTCAGGAAATGCGCGCAAATCCCTCAATGAATCCCTACTTCAGCGAAAATGTCCTCATTCTCGTCCTCTTTGGTCTCAACTTCCACATATTCAATGGAGGAGACGAATTTGTTGTAGCTCTCGATGACTTCCTCCTTGATCTTCAGCATGCGCGTCTCGATTCCGGCAAACTCCAGGCACACCAGCTCACAGTTCAGGCAAATGTACTCGGAGTGAATGGCATCGGGCTCCACGGGAATCTCCAGGATGCGCGCCAGCACGTCCGCCACATTGTCACCCTCCAGCACCTGCAAAAAGCACACACCCAACCCCATCAGCAACTGCCCTGTGTGCCTCCGCGGAGGGCCAGGAGACTCACTTTCTTCGAGAAAATGTGATGGCTTCCGCGACAAGGGACGCTCACTTGACACAACACACAACAGCCCGTCTCTGTCTTCACCATTGTCTTCGCCAGCTTCTCACCACTTGCGCAACACACACAGCCCTTTCGACACCGGGGGTTTTCCGCTCTTGGGGGCGCTTCCTGGGCCAGGAAAATCAGGTTAATTCAGGGATGTCTTTCCGCAATGTTGATATTTTCCGTGCCAAAATTGACAGATGTCGAATAAAAGAGTCGCTCTTACACGCTTGGCGGCGCCACCGTCGCGAACAGTGCCGACGAAATGGGTTAAAATATTAGAGACGCGTTTTTAGTACGCCTTAGAAAATTTCCCTGAATCGCGTAAACAGAAATATAATGACTTCTCTGGAGGACAAGATTCTGGGCGAGAAGTCGCACTATTACTGCAGCAGTGACGAGGAGGATGAGAGCAATTCAGTGCGCGTCGTGCGTGACGATGTGGACAAGCCGCCGCCCTGCCCTCCAGGCGGTGGCGGCGGCACGACCAACACGGGCCCCAAGGGCGTGATCACGGATTGGCGTGAGTACAAGAAGATGCTGGCCGAGGCACGCTCGGCGGACGAGCAGGAGCGCCTGGAGCAGCTGCAGAAGATGTCCTCGATGGGCAAGACGAAGGCGGAGGACGAGAAGGCGCGCGCAGACGCCGAACTGGAGGCTGAGCTGGCCGAGCTGATGAATGACGAGAGCATCCTGGCCTTCCAGCGCCAGCGAGTGCTGGAAATCACAGCCAAGATGGGCGTCCGCAGCACCTTCGGCCAACTGATCCGTCTGCAGAGCGCCGAGGAGTTCCTGCAGGCCGTGGAGGAGGAGCAGCACTCCACTGTGATTGTGCACATCTTCGAGAACAACGTGCCGGCGTGTCGACGGCTCAACCAGTGCCTGGAGGAGCTGGCCAAGGAGATGCCCACCGTGAAGTTCTGCAGCATTCTCAGCAGCCACGCAAGAGTGAGTCTCAAGTTCCGGAACGCGGCGCTGCCCACAATTCTGGCGTACAAGAAGAATCAGATCATCGGGAACTTTGTGCAGCTGGTGAGCGAGCTGGGCGATGACTTTTGCTCGTCAGATGTGGAAAACTTCCTGATAGAGCGGGGAATTATCGTGGAGAAGGAGATTCAGTATAATTGCTATCAAAATGTTCAGAAGTAGATTAAGGAATAAGAAAAGATGCGAATGTCAAGGAAAAATGCCGTTTATTTCCCTGATTTCACTGTCCGGGAGTCACGCTTAAGCCCCAGCGATGGTCACTTCGATCACCACTCCAGGCTCAATGTTGATGGACGTGATCTGCTTCACGATCTCCGATGGAGAGTGCAAATCGATGATCCTCTTGTGGATTCTCATCTGCAAAGCGAGAGAAAACAGTCAGTGAATGGATTCCTGAGATCTTGAGTGGGTTGTGGTGCCTTTTTGAGACAACCCCGGACAGTGGTGAAGCCCAGGATTGCACTATGACTCAAGGCAGCGTTTCTCTCCGGCGAACATTGGCAGAAAGTCCACAGAATTGCGGACTTTCTGACTGAATTCAGTTGCCGTGCGTGGAAAATTGATCAACATATTTACCTGGAAGCGATCCCATGTCTTGGATCCCTCACCGCAAGGTGTCTTCCTGGTGGTGATCCTCAAGATCTTCGTGGGCATCCGGACGGGACCCTGAAAAACACACAATGTCACATAACCTCACATTTTAGATTCTTCCCCGCGCGGAAAAACTGTCTCTTCGCCCCACAAGCCATCGCAGGCCCAACACAAGGACACTGAATGGACAGATTGAGGGCTAAGATGTTGCTCTAGCATCTGCTAAACAAGGATATCCCGATGGGAAACCGTGACATCCTCCAGGACAGTTTGCACATCAAACATTCCCGGAATCTCACCTTCACGCGCAGTTTCTGCTTCTTCGCGCCCGTCACCAGATCCGCGCACACCTTCTCCAGGGAGCGCACATTGCGTGAGGTCAGCGTGATGCGAATGCGATGGACAGACGCCACTTCCGCCTGCGGCTTCTCAATATCTTTAGCGACGGCAGCCTGAAACACGTGGACAGATTAGCATGTTGACATTTAACCACAAATCCCGCATTTTCTCCACTTTTCTCCATACGAGGTGACTTTCCCAGTCACTCACCATTCTTCAGATGCTATTATCCGGTCGAGATAGTTGATTTTTGGGCAAAAATTCCAACCAGCGCTGAACCAGACAACTTTCTTGTTGCAGCGTTTTCACGGAAAAGGATTGCCAGATGGCCAACATGGCGCCAAGAGGCCGCGAAAAGGCCTTTTCGCGCGCCCTCCGAATAGGTTTTTTTCCGGAAAGCCGACCGAAAGTGAGGTTATGTGACGCGGAGAAGATAATAAACAAATCAGAGTTCTCAAGTGTGTCATTTTCTTTGGAAAATTCAGTGAAATTCCCCTTGAATAGAGCAATGGGATTACTCACAGATCCTTCTGCTCTGTCGCAGAAGACAAAATACGCGAAATTGCTGCAGAAACACTGCAAATTGCTGTGCAATCTGCTGTTTCTTGGCGGTGTTTGCTGGTTTGTCGCACTCACGGACACAAGTCTCAATCATGGCACTTACTTCTCGGAAAACGCCCTGCTTCCCGGTGAGATGCACCAGAGTGTCTTTGGGCAGTGCTTAACTGGGATTTTTTCCTCCTCTTCTGTTCTCAGGGCTGGTGTACTCGAACCTCAAGAAGGAGACGATGAGTTTCGCCGCCACTCTTCAGGGCGATTTCAGTCGCGAGCGCGAGAGTCATCAGAACACAATGCCAACATCTTGGCTGCTGGCGAAGATGAAGCAGATCGGCTTGGACGCCGCCACGCACAATTTCACTCTGCACTATCCGTTCGGCGGCGGAAAGGTTTGGAAGCGCGCTGGAAGTGAAGAAGTTGAGATTTTGACTTGAACATTCTCTTTCAGGTCTTCACCGGACAGAATGTCTACGGAATTCTTCGGGCGCCCCGAATTGGCTCCACCGAAGCCATTGTCATCTCCTGTCCCTATCGCGCGGCCACTTCTGTCCATCCGGAAATCTCACACAGCGTCGCCCTAATGCTGGCCTTCGCCGATCACGCCAGAAGTGTGTCTTGTCCTTGCTGACAAAGTGAATCCTTTTCTCACTGTGCATCATTCGTTTCAGGGCAGAAATACTGGGCAAAGGACATAATATTCCTGGTCACTGACCAGGAACAGCTGGGCATGCAAGCGTGGCTGAATGCTTACTATGGAAACGAGGACAATTCAGTGCTCCTGACCAGTGATTTACCCTTGAGAGCCGGAGCAATTCAGGCGGCGCTCAACATCGAGATGCAGAGCTTTGATTTGGGTGAGTGAATGTCGCAAAATCCACTAAAATGGCACGAGGGAGGTTAATTATGACGAAATCTGGCCGTCCGTCCGTCGGTCGGTTCATCGTAAATGGATTTGTAGCGCATAAAGATCAAAAACAATTCTACTGCCCGCCATTTTGAAAACCCCAATATCACGTTTTGCTCATTTACTCAGGCCCTTTGGCATGAATCTGCCCTAAATTTTAGTATATTATAGCTAACATCGAGACCTTTCCAACGAACTGCTACTTAAGAACCTAGGACCATCTGGACCCTAGATATTAAGATCCAAATTTCAAAATTAAAATGCCCATAACTCCGGTTTTAATTATTCGATCTTAATAATTTAAAGCTCATTAGATAGATCTCGTAAAATGCAATCTTCCATCTGAACATCATAACTTGATACAACTACCACTAGTTGCGCTACAGTCGAAAAAACGATTTTCGAAACTTTAAAAGCAAATATCTCAAAAACCAGAGTGTGCAATTTCTTTAAATTTCAGTATGTTGTAGTCCAAGTCAGGACGTCTCTAAAAATAGGTTATAATGTTTTATTGAAAAAAAAAGTAGAACCGGTGTTGTGGAGGTTTAAAGTTTTAATTTAGAAAACACTGTAACTTTGGTTCTGTTTGTCCGATTTGAATGATTTTGGGCTCGTTGGAAAGCCACAAAAATCTACAAATATTTAGAACAACAGAAGTTCATCAGACCACCGCGAGAGGCGCTAGTGTCAATTATAAAGTTTTTAGGTTAATAATTTTTCTTTCAATGTCAAGGTATTTTTAAGGAAATTTTTGGATATTTCAATAGTCCAGATTGAGACATTTCCAAAATGTGGTTAAACTTTTCTGTCAATGCCATAGAACCCGAGTTATGGAGGTTTAAAATCTTTTGTATGAAATTGGGTTGTTTTCGTCGCACAAAAAGCTTGCTTCGGCGTTTGCTTATCACGCTCTTATTCATTGTCTTGGCGTTTCGTGTAGATTTCATCAATATTAAATTGGAGGGACTGAACGGACAGCTGCCCAATTTGGACTTATTCAATTTGGTGCAGAAGTTGACAAACAAAGAGGGCATCCTGTGCGGATACAAGCAGACCAGGACGAAGCGCCCGAACGGCGGTCACGTGAATAATTTATGGCAGATGCTCACGATGGTGCTGAGTCAATCCACTGGCGTTCCCACCGGCAATCACGGCCTCTTCCACCGCTTCGGCATCGAGGCCGTGACGCTGGAGGGCGTCGCGATGGACTCGGAGGTGCCGCCGACGGGCCAGAGTCTGCAGCAGATGCTGCGCATCCTCGAGGGCATCACGCGCAGTCTGAACAATCTGCTGGAGCGCTTCCACCAGAGCTTCTTCTTCTACCTCATCATCTCCAACGACAGATTCGTGTCCATCGGCGACTACATGCCGTGCATCGGCTTCACGGCCGGCGCTCTGCTCATCAAGGCCTTCATCATGTGGCTGGCGCACAATCGGACGGACTCTGAGGCAGCGGAGGAGGACGCCAAGACGCCGCCGAGTGCGCCCACGAATCTCATGAAGATCGGCGTGCTGTGCATCTTCGCCCACGCGATGGGCTTCGTCGTCAACTATCTGCCCTTCTATCACGGCGTCACGGAGTTCTTCCACCAGCGCGCCTTCACCACCGAACACGCGCTCGCCACGCTCCTGGCCATCGTCTCCGTCGTCGTCCTTCTCTCGTGCCTCTTCTTCCGCCTCGACGAAGCGGACGCCAAGGTGAGTGTCGTCTGACTTCTCTTCACTCAATGGTTTTCCCGCGGGTTAAACAAGCTGATTTGGAACGTGTTCATGAATTCTATTATTCCAGGATAATTCTCGTTACTCTCACTTTTAATTTCTTCAAGTTATTCATTGTCATTCATGAATAAATCTTATTTTAAATTTTATTTTAAACACTTTCGAATTTGTTTTTTTTTCATTAGATTTTATTTTAACGCTTTTAACTGAGTTCTTTCTAGTCTTAATATAAATGCTGCATTTATATTAAATCCGACACGGCGTAAAGAGGCTCGTTGTTAAGTTAGGTTTATTGAATCTGTTGTATGAAAGATTTGCATTTAACATTTTATAGTTGACTCTTGTTCGAGTTCAATTCCTTTGTGGTGAATAAAAGCTCAGTAGAACTGTTGTTATGACGCAATGAATTAAGCATTGGCCATTAGAGGATGTTGAAGCGACGCTATTGATCAACATTCCATTGTTTTACATAAATTATGTCGATAACAATGAATTTTTCAGCTATGATATAATGAGCTTTTATCAATAAGTGCTAATTACTATGAAGGGGGAATTTATTGATAAATGCCAAACATTCGCAGTTTATTAATAAATTACCTGCGCGTGAGTGAAGAATTATTGTGACGTGTTTTGTGCTTTTCCAGGTGCTGCACATTTGGATCCTTCTGGAGTTGGCAACAGCGCTGATTGTTGTTGGAATGCTGAACTTCTCATTGGGACTCATTTTGGCCTTTGTCATCGTTCCAATACTGATAAATGTCGAAATATCACACAATAGAATTATCAAATTTGCCCAGCAATTGTGCGGAATTCTGCTACAACCGCTCATTGTGGCATATTTGGCGGTTTTCACACTGACTTGGATCACATTTGATGAACTATCATTGATGAGTGTGAGCCAGAAAGCATTGTCCGCCACAATGAATGCCCTCGTCTATTCCGCTGTGGATTCTGTGGTGAGTTTTTGGGGGCGGCGGCGGCAATTCTGGGCGACGCGTAAATACTTCTGTTGTATTTTCTTTGCAGATTTATGGAAATTGGATGTTCAATATGATCAGTTTGGTTTTCTTTCCCATTTGGATTCTCATGTGGAACTTCCTCACGTGGCGACGCGGCGAACGTGAGATTGATGGGGGAAAAATGCAGAAAGCTGTGGAGAAAAAAAAGACTAAATAAATTGTGGAAAAGAGGAGATTTTAAAAAGTACTTTAGCTTTAGCTACACATTCAAGTGGAATAAAGAAGACAAGCAGGAGGAGGAGAAAGACTGAAGGAAATCCTCAAGGGGAAGATATTGTGGTGATGAAAGGAAGTATTCTATGATTTTGCCCAAAATAATCAATTGGATCGCCTTTTTTGAGGTTATGTGATGATTTAAAACATATTCTGGTGATAAAATCAGCATCAAAGTCATCTAAATTGTGTCTAAGCTGGGAATATTTGTCTTTTCTCGGCAGAATTGAGCATTTGTAGTCGAAAAAATCTTCATATTTATTAGGAAACAGCTTAAAAGTCAACCATAACCTCAAAAATGTCTAAGAGAAATCTTTTTGTTTATTTTTTCCGCAGTTTGTGCTTTAAAATGAGAAATTCAGCCTCATTATTTAGTGGAAACATTCTGATATTCGCCATATTTACTCATTTCCAGACTTTCAGCATTTTTTTTAACCAGAATTCATAACCTCACATTTAGGTTAGAATTTTCTTAAAACATTTTCTGAAGAGTAAACTAGTCAATGAACAAATCCTGTGAGATTAAAATAATTTTTTACTGCCTGCAATTTAAGCATTTGAAGAGGTTTTACTTCTTGAGACGGATAAACCCGGATTAGATTGTGATAAATCAAAAATCTATAAGAGAAGCAGTTTAAAAAGTCGAAAAAGGGACGGAAAATGCCCTTAAAGACGCTCAGGAGTGTCTGAAGTGTTGAAGATTCTGCACAGAAGCTAAAGAAGTGTCAGGAACGGAGTTAAGCCATATTTTCTCCCCCTTGGAAATCCACCAACATTCTTCCTTCCTTCTCTCTTCCTCTGCCAGTATTTGCACTTTCCATGTGTGTATTTATCCTGGGTGAGCTTCTGTTGTATCCTTGAGCATTAATTTTCACAGTATGAGCCGCATTTATGTGCTTCTCGTGTAAATATTTACGCGCGAATGAGGAAAAAAAGAGAGAGATGAAAAAATCTGCTGCAAAATGATGGACGTTTCAAGTGGTATTCAAAGTAAACATAATTTGTAGTTCATGCCCGAGTTGTGCCAGAGCAAAGTGTGCATGGCAGTCCAAGAGAGAAGAGACTTGGCTGTCTTGATATCCTTTTCCTTCACCACACAAGGCGCGGAGAGATGGCCAATGCTTGTTAGCTGTCTTTTTGATTTCCGGACACATTGGCCAGTTTTCTTCCAATTTATTTCGCCCCATTCCGCGTCTTTGTTAATTTTCCACCCCGCGAAGACAAATAAATCCCAATGCAGTGCGCCTTTCACGAACTGTCACTCCTTATTTCTCGTCCTCTGACCCCTTTTTATTAACTTAATTTCACTCAAATACACCACAAGAGCTGGAAGGGAAATCTGACTAAAATTAGTATGAGTAATTTTTTGTGAATTGAAATGCCAAGTCTGAAAAGTTGCAACGACCTCTCTGGTTTTGTATAAAAGAAAAAAGAAAAGAAAGAAAACCTTAATAAGACAACAAACAATCAACTTAATTTATGAAGAGAATTTTGTGTAACACATTTCGATCACATGCCAATATCGCGATGAATTTGCTAAAAATATTGAATTCTTCCATGACGACGAACTCGTTTATCATTCTGTCTTGGCTTCGCAGCGCATTAAAGTGATCTGTCTCAATTGAATGGCTGTTAAAATTTTATCGTTTTCCCCTACAAATATTCTTCAAATTACCTTTCTGGCGGTGAATTGCGGATGATTGAAAAGTTGCCTCATTTCATGTGCTTCACAAACTATTGTCCATACATTTTCATGCACTGCACTGAATGCGTTACACAGAAAGCAGAAATTTCTATATATAGTCTCCAATTTCACTCCACTTACATAATAATTTTAATTCCAACATTTCCATCCTATCTCCGTCGCACCGTAAAATGTTAAGTGATTTTGTAGAATATGCAAAAAGGTAATATGAAATTGTTTCTCCTCTTCGTTTCAGTTGACGTTGAGCAGAAATCGAATATTCCTTCAAATATTCATTCTCTCTCGCACAGTTTTCACTCCTCTTTTGGATCGTGGCCGTACAAAAGGACTGGCGAAAAGTGTGGAGGAAAAAAGCACTGAGAAAAATTCTACGACATGAGAAGGTGAGAAGAAAGGCGAATAAATGTTGCTTCTCGAGATGTTTTTTGAACAAAAAGTCGTGCCGAAATAGTGAAAGAAATATAAGAAATAATAATCATACACTCAATTAGAACACAAAGATTTCAAATATATTTGGATTAACCAGTCAAGGTGTTTTCAAGGCAGAAAATTCCATTCCTTCGTGGAAAAAAACATTCGTGGTGGCGCTCATTTGCCCCTTGGAAGAAGATGAGGCACAGTGTAGAATTTCACAGCTGCTGTGCGCGGAAATAATTGTGCGAGCTGCAATTGAGGAGGTGTAATGTGTGCCTGAGTGCAGAGGCCAATTGTGTTTGAGTCTGGTTGGAAAAATCACTGAATAATAAATACACATTATCAGAGTTTGCACAGAAGTGGGAGATCCTTGAGCACCACTTCAAAGCGCCCAGGAGTGCCTGTACAACAATATATGGCGCAGCTATTGTGCTTGGAATTCACAAACAATTTTCCAAAATAACTCCAACAACATTGTTCCATCTTGGCATAGCCTTTCATTCACTCTCCAAACCCACATTAAAGAGTGTCTCTTCCTGTTTGGGCAAATCACGGAGCTCTTCTCGCCACTCACGCCAATTGTGTGACACGATTGAGACTTCAATCGTGCGATTGTGGGCAGAAAGATTTCATTTGTGGAAGTTAGTCAGTCCAGGTGCTGGTGAAGTACAACAAATTATGTTGCACACTGTCCGGCGAGGGGCAGAAATTGCGGTCGGAAGTAGTGTACAACTTCATGGAAGTGTTAGGAGTTTGTGGAAGTGATGGTAAAAGCTACTGTTTGAACAAATTGAGGCATTTTCTAAATTATTTTGCCTAGAAAAATCAATTTGATTGCTTTTTTTGAGGTTATGTGATTGATATAAAACCGATTTCAGTGTTCAAAGAATCCAGCCCCTATTTTGTCTATATGAAAATAATTACACGCTATCAGCGTGAGTGGAAAACTTCAGCGCAACAAACTTTTATCCTGCAATTCGGTTAATAATAATGCATTCATATGTATGTTTGCTCCTAATATATGTAGCATCTTGTATGTATTTTGCTGTGAGACAAAATGTGAATTCAAACTCGAGAAATGATGGTAACATGCAGAGGAGCATGTTGAAACAGCAGAAAAAGAATTAACCCTGTTAGCTTAAGCAAATATACGATATTAGCTTACATATCTTATGGTGTTTATCTATGCAAAAGATATCCCATATTGTCCTTTAGTAGAAATGAAACTTCAGCGCAATATGTGCTTTATTTCCACAGGGAAATGGAACGGTCATTTGCCTGTATGTGCATTTTGGGAATAGGAGAGATTGGAAAAGAACGGCCACTCTTGAGAGTTCCGCCGTTGCACTATTTTGCACGCAATTGCAATTGAATTGCAGCAATTTTAGTGCGTCATTTAGGGAGTTCATTGGAAAATGCATAGAACAAGGGGAAGATAATATGGCTGCAATCTGTTTCTGACAATTTCACCAGTTTCTGTGCAGAAACTTCAACACATCAGACACTTTTGATCGTCTTTAAAGACATTTTCCTTCGCTTTTACGACTTCTTCAACAGTTTTTAACACCAAATTATGACTTTTCAACTTTTATTCCGTGTTTTACTCGTCTCAAGAGGTTTAAACCTCTTCAAAAGCTTAGATTTAAGATTGTAAGAAATAATTTTATTGCCTCACAGTTTGATCATAATTATTTTCTGTCTTAATTTCCTATTTTTGTCTTCGGATAATGCTTAGAAAACTTCTGACCAAATTGTGAGGTTATGAATCCTATCTAAATATCCTTCTTACACTAATTTTACTCCTTTAAAACATGGAAATTTGTAACTTGAAGTTAAATTTGCCATATTAAAGCACAAACAGCAAAAAAAACATAGCAAAGAGACATTTTTCTACACTAGAAGTGACATTTTTGAGGTTATGATTAACTTCTAAGCTTTTTCACAACCAATATGGAGTTTTTTCCAACACATATGCTAAATTGCGCTGAGAAAAGAGAAATATTCTCAGATTAAACACAAATTAGATGATTTTGAGGGTTATTTGAACACCAGAATTTGTTTTAAATCGATCATATAACCTCAAAAAAGCGATCAAATTGATTATTTTAGGTTAAATAATTTAGAAAATGCCTCAATTTGTTCAAACAGAAGCTTTTGCAGTGCAAATATTTCGCCACTTCTAATTCCTAACACTTCCTTTCAAGCTGTACACCACTTCAGACCGCAATATCTGCCCCTTGTAAGGAAATGTTAAAGCCAAAACACAAAAATTGCTCTTTGCAACACTTAAAATGCTATTTTTTTTTAGACTCAAGACTACAAATTCATGTTTTAGCTTCTTGAGGAACAAATTTCGTGTGTTCTTCCGTAAAATAGGGCAATTTTGCTGTGATCCCATTGCCGGTCAGGAGTTCCAAGAAGAAAGGGTTGATGAATAAAGAGCGGTTGAAGACGTCAATGCTCACTAATTTCGAACCTTTTCGAGTTGTGATGGGGATTCGTAGTCTTCGTAACGCTTTGCGTGCGTGGATAGTTTGAGCGGTTCTTTGTCAAGAACAGTCTGGAGGTTTTGGTCGGCTTAAGAAATGAGTGTCATTATGAATTGTTCTCGCTTAGTTAATTTATGGTTATTGTGTTCGGCATCTCAAGGATAATATTGGCCTAATTGTAGCTTTTCATCGTCACCAGCTTTCACGATCGTTGGCTTATTTCAGTTTGATGGAAAAATCAAACTAAGTTGATCAGTGACGCCGCCATATTGAATTAACCTTAAACACCTGCATCTCGGCAACAAGACGATGGATTCGAATAGGATTTTAGTATGTTGTAGACAGGTTAGGTCAGGACAGATCTAAGAACAGCTCATAACTTCCCATGGAAACAATAGAACCGTAGTTTTGGCGGTTTTAAGTTTTCACTTTGTATTATCATAACTTTGGTCCTTTTTGTCCAATCCTTAT